TACGAGCTGTCCCATGGCGACGGTGGTAGTGTTTGATATGCCACCAACAATGTACCGGGCCAGATTTTCGAGATCGGGCTGGCAGCGGGCCAAAGCATTCGGTCGAGGTTTTCCGAGAAGGTTCTTCGTTGTGCTCACGATGAACCAGGTCGTCACAACCGATAGGATGAGTCCCAGCCATCCTGCGTGCACCTCCCAAATCTTTCTACTCCAAACAAGGGACCTTGGAGTATCTCTTGGGACTGTTCCACCAGGTACGAACAGTATGACCACTCCGAAAATCACCACTATTGGCAATGCGACGCTCAGCAGGAGCAGATTCGTTACAGATACGGTATCGGCGTGAAGCGGGAAGCTGATATCTGGGTTCTCCAGGTTGAAGGGCCGTTTTTGTGGCGACAGGTTGCCAAGCAGCAAGCCTGCCACGCCAAATGCGATGAGTAAAACCCAATCGATGGCATAGGATAGAATCAAGATAAAATTCCCCATTGTCTGGCGTTTGCGATGTGTGCCGCTGGGATCCGAAATCGATGAATAAGGTCGACGGGATTCAAAGGGACCACGATTTTGGAGGTCCTCGAGGGGAATATCGAGCATTCTGTTGTCCAAGCCGAAACGCGATGAGCTGATTGTTATTCAAATTCATGATAAACAGGACGGAATTGGACATTTATATATATTTGCACCCCAGAATGGCTGTGTGAGAATGTGACTTAGACCTGGATGCAGGGACAGCGCCTCTTCCCTAGATTCGCCCGGTTCAGTCACGGTCTCGTTCCCCGCCACATGACAAGCGCACTCTACTCCAACTTCACGCAAGGTAGCTTAGCAAGCTTAACAAGCTAGAATACGGCGTATTGCTAGACGAGACCAAGTGAGGCTGTGTCCTACTCTGGACAAGGTCTTAAATTTGTATCAGTCGGGGAAAGGCGCCACCAGAACGGCACAGATCGTCGGGGCCTAATAATGGCCTGTGACCCCTCTGTACTGGACGGACCTCTCATCTCCCCGACAGCGAGAGTTTTGACTTGACTACGGTTACTTCATTTGTCAACTTCCGCTATAGTTTTGCTCCCTTCAACAACAAATACTAAACGCCTCCTGGAATCGAAGCCTGCTTGAGGTACCTTACCACACCTGTCTACCAGGCTGATCGGCTGACGCGTCCAATAAGCCACTTCTCTTTGTGAGGGTCTGCTCATAGATGACTGGATGTGCAACTCGTACTTTGACCGATGTATATCAGCCTGGAACGAAATCATGTTGCCACCAATGTCATTGGACTGTGTCAATGACCAGCTACGAGAACTCGCAAAGAAGAGTCACAATCCCAGGCTCTCTGCGGTGCCAAAACTTTACTCATTTCGACGTAAGATCTGAACAATGCGGCGATGGTTTCATGTACACTCGGCGCAGCAAGGTAATGGCAGCATAGAACAGCCTGTGATCCGGTGTGTAAGAAGGTCTGTTCTCAGCCACATCAGGCTTGGGAGCAATAGGATAAGCATTAACGAGCTGGAAGGCGATGCTGTCTTCTCGTATTGGACGCAACTAAAGGATATGTCTTTGGTGAAATGTCTCACGGGGCTCACTCTGTGTTGAAGTGTTCCTAGCCTCCCCCTGGTATCACATGTTGATGAAGTAAAGAGCGATTATTGTTGGCGTACAATTTTCCTCTCTGGCGAGATCGCAAATCTTCCAACTCGCATGAGTTCCACGACCGTGAGCCGTCGCCATTGCTAACAGGAACTCATCTGCGAAGCTTTTGCTGGCGGGTGCACTCTAGAAATCTCACCAATGACCTATCGCTCCCTAAGGTATTCAATGCAAAAAGCGGTAAGGGCTGGAAGGGAGTGTTTAGTTCGAGATTGCGGGTGGTTGTCCTGGGTGTGTGGGCATATTGTGCGGGAAAAGGGCAGCACGTGGTCATAGAACCAATCCTTGGCAGGGCAGTCCCGTTACCAGATCATTTTAGGTGCTGCAAGCTCTTAGATTCTCTTTTTAAAACTCGTTTATACTTCAGAGCGGAATCTGGATATACGTTGCTGCTTTGTTCGGTTGCGTTCCTGTTGCATAGCAGCCTACAACTTGAGCCATTCGTTCCTCGGCCCAGAAAACCAAACCCCCTCCTTGCGTTCCCGTCCCTGCCTCCGACATCCTCGACCCTCCATAGGCTACCACGTTTGAAGGTCTTTGAATTAGGGCATCAGCTTCGGATTGTGTATCTTCTACAGTGTACACGTATCGTTAATACTCATTTGAGGTACTCAATATTGTCACTTGAACCCTGTTGCTAATTTCGTGTTCTAGCAGATTTCGTCGTGTACAACAGAACACAAAAGCGGTCCAAGTCCTCACTACGGATTCATTTTATGCTACACGACTGCCCATATTATATCTATCTCGACAGTCAACAGAGCTGGTTATCGAACATCGCATACCGAGCATAGGGTACTCCGTCATATCCGTCACGTCGTAATACATCATCGTTAACTATGGCATCGCCATAGCCGTCTTCTTTGTTCGTACGAAAGAATGCTTGGCCCGACTTCGATTATGTCCCTTTCTTCAATGCCAGAGGCAGAAAGTATGAGGTAATCCTCCGAGGCCAGGCTGTTGCTACAACGGTTGGAACAGAACCATGGGGTTCGCTTTCATCGAGAAGAGCGGTGGTAGAGCTTCGACGTGACGACATATAGACCGCCAATATATTTCCCTGTCATGCCCTTGGATAAGAATAACAGCTCCGCCAAGTCAGCAAGATTTCTTCGATCTTCTTATGGACTTCAGCTACTAGTGTAGCCTGGACGATCGATCGAGGCGTTTAAAACCCCATGGAACATGTTGGCCTCCCTCATGCTGGCCCCATGCCAAATTTTCAGTGGGAAGAAACCATTCAAAATCTCACGGTCCAGGTGCAAGCAGTCATCCATCATGCTACGATTCTGGCAAAGCATTTACTAGAAGAAATCCGTTGTGGTGCTTGGAAGAAACCCGGCGTAACGTACTCCTTTTTGGAAAACGTATTTCCTGTTAATTGTATGTTTCGATTGGAACGTCGGTGATCCAGAGTCGTTTCGCTGCCGCTGAACTACCGTAAATCTTCACCCTTAGGGGGACAACGAGGCCTGTCGGTCTATTGCCGAGTCGATCCGGTTTCTCCTACCTTATCTTCTGTTTGATGCCGATAGGTCGGCACAGATTACTTCTCCTGCTATCATATTTCCCATAAGATATGTCCACTCGCGTGGATAGATCAGAATTCAATCCAAGGATTTGTAGGATTGCAAAAAACAAGACTGTTGACGATGTATGGATCCTGCCTGGCATGTGCCTCTGGAAAGGATGCGCACGTCCAGTATACTCGTAATCTACCTGATCCTCCTCCAAAGCTGGATAGTTTCTAAATCGCAATGGTTCTGGACTTGGAGTTTGATGAACATTGACAGAAATGACCTTGTTGTGCTCAGAGAGTTCTACAGCAACGTCCAAGTCAGTGATCTTATGTGCGGTCAATATCTTCATAGCAAAGCAAGAACTGCGCGCATAGTGATCCCAAAGCCAAGCCATCACACCCATCATCAAATAGCGTTTGATGTATCGATAGCGAGTCTTACTTGAGCACCTCTATTGTCAGCGTGTTTTATGCAACTTGGAATTATATCAGAATTTGGATATCTGGCCATGACATCGGCTAGCTAAGGTAGCCTCTAGGTTGGGTATAATATTAAGCACAGCTACGCCGATGGCAAATGAGCAAGAAAATGCTTTATACTAAAGCTTCACGGACACGCTGCTTTTCTTACAAATTTATAGTCTTCTCGGAGGGCGTCGCGATGTCAATCATTTCGTTTGAGCGCTGAAGTCGCGCAATCTACTCCTTCCGGCCTGAGTCGCGAGGTAGTAACCTACGATGCACCTCGCCACGTCTTCGACTAACCGATACCATCGTACGGCGACATGTTTTTATCACCCTGTCATTGGTCCCAGGCATATCTATGATTTATTCGCTTCTAATCAGACCGTTGCCTTAGCGACGTAGATTCGCCGGCATGCTGCGACTTCTGCGATATGGAGCTTCCTTCATTCTGCACAACAGATTTCACAGCTTATGCGGCATTGTCAAATGATTTTGAGCCTTGTCTATACCTCATCCGTCCCTGAATGTATTCTAAGTATGCTCGGAGGATTCGAATGCCCATTCTCCAGTGTGGATGGCTTCGTTATCAGTTCGGTCGCCAGGCACTCGAGATGCGCACTTTCGGCTTCAAGAGAAGCCCATCCTCGGCCAACTTACAGACCAAGCTTCCTGGGAGTTTGGTAGCTGATTCAAAAGCTTTACAAACCTCATATCGACAAGATTCTCACAATGCTAAAGCATTATGAAGCACCTTAGCGACGGGGACCCTCGCTCAGCAAGAGATCAGCTGTTTCTGCCGCGAACAGGCATCCAAGAAAGTCCGCGTTGACTGGACGACCTTTGCATGCCACGACCAAGGCTATATGAGGGGGTCAATCGCTCGAACATCATCATACTTGACACGGAGTGCTAAGACAAGGAACAGGAGGTGATGCTGTAGGCCTTCGACCAAATACGCCCTTTACTACCCCAGCTTTGCCCTTTGCTAATAGTACTTTGTTCCTTCACATAGTGCATTATCGTATCTGACCCCGTGCGAAACAACGACTTTCAAAACGACTGCCTTGACATCAATGGATTGCAAACGGCGGAGTGCAGCCCATGAGCAGACTCGAATCACAGCAAAGTATTGTAGAGGGACAGCTGGGAAAGGCCGCAATTTTGCAAATACATGATTGAGATATCCTGTTTGTGTGCGACTAGCCAGAAGGTGAATGGGACCGGTGGATTGAAAGGGATCAACATCCATATGAACTTTCAAATTGGCTCGGATCACGACGTCCTCAATGATGTTCACACTGAAGAAAAGCTCACGACGTCAAAATATATAGTTCCAATGTTCTAATTGAGAAGGAATGAGCTAGTTCACAGTCTCAAGAGTAAACTCCTTCACCACAACTGAGCCTCCGAGAGACTTTGTAGCATAGTTGAACACCGCGAAACGGAATGCTAGGAAGAATTGCCACCTGTTGTGTAGCGGGTAGTCCGGTCCAAGTTGAGTGAATTTCTCTCCATCAAAGCTGTACAGCAGCTGACTCGGGTTATCCGCCTCAACTCCAAAGGTCGGGTGGACGTCTGCAACTATGCGTAGGTAGATGTCTGCAGAACCGTTGGCAACCCCTGATAGGTCGACTTCAGATTCGGTGGCGGTAGCCACGATCGTGCCATTGGAGGTGGTCTGCCAGCCCGAACTCTCCGACAAGATGAGATCATGAACCACAACGAGCTTCAAACCATTGCCCACCTTCCGGAAACCAATGTAAGCAGACTCGTCGCGGAAGATCGAGACGCCAGCTACATCGCCATCGACCATGTTGCCGAGATTCAGTCGGAACGTGCCGCTGCTCTTGGGCCCCTGGATTCTGTGGGCAAGAGTGTTTCTCGCTTTATACAAATCGTCTGTGATGGTGGCCGTGTGTAGTGTAAGGCCTTCAGAACCGAGCTCCCACGCGGAGTTGTCCGGGTTGTGGTTGAAGGCCCATTCAGCCGAGAGAACAGAGCTGCCGAAGTTGTCGGTATACGCTCCAGCTGCCTTTACCTTCTTTTCCGTCTGGATGGGCATTGGGTAAGTTTCGCCCCATCCCCCGACTTCATCCGTAACGATGTGAGGCCAACCTTCTTCGTCCCATGTCAGCGGTGCCAGAACTGGAATGCGACCACTCGGATACGCGTCTAAGAATGACATGTACCACCAGTCACCATCGGGGGTATCTACAATGCCGCCCTGATGAGGTGTTCCGGAATTCGGAATCGGGGAAGCCATTCTATCGAGAACAGTGCGGTTTGTGTAAGGACCCCATGGGTTATCGGCTTTCAAGACATGCTGGCCGTCGGCGGGCTTGGTCAACCAGATGTAGTAGCTGGAACCGATGTGATAGAATCTTGCTCCTTCCAAGTACCGCACTGGGTCAACCCACACGACCTGGGAGAGAAGTTAGTGATGCTCTTCGCTTGTTCTAAGGTTCAATTGAAGCTTGCCTCGTTTCTGACTGGCTTCAGCCCATCAGGTGAGAGTTGAGCAACGCTGATATTGTACCTTCCGTATGCAACATACATCGTGTCATCGTTGTCAACAAGGACACCCAAGTCGTAGAAGCACTCGTCAATAGGCGTTTGAGCAGTCCATGGCCCTGCCGGGTCACTCGCGGTGAAAATCCAGGTCTTCATTCCGCCCGACTGGATGCACCCGTACCAGTAAAACAGGCCGTTGCTTTCCCGGTACTTCAACGAAGAAGCCCAGATACCTCCTACATAGGCGCTCGTACTACTGTTCAGGTAATACTCTTCTCCAAAGATGAGCTCGGGCACTGAATGTCCCACATACTCCCAGTCGACAAGGTTGTAACTTTTGAGCACGGGAGCTCCCGGGGAGTAATGCATCGTTGAAGCCGTGTAGTAGTATGTGTCATCAACGCGAATAACCTCCAAGTCAGCTAAATCCTGCCATAGGACAGGATTCGTGAACGTGGTATTCTGGGCTAGGGCAGAGGTCGCCGCCAGCACCAGAGCTGAAAGGAGGGAGAGCATCTTGTTCGTGACTGATCTAGAGCACAACTGATCGATACCATAGTCTTAGAGAAGACTGCAGTTGTGATAAGCTTATTATTATAGTAAGTACCCAAAGCTAGTTCATCGTGGGTCCTCTGACAAGCAGATAATGACCCTCCTCCTACCTTCTGACATGAGCCGACTTGGACTATTACACAATGCCGAGAAACGCTTACTTGCGCGCAAATAAGGCGATTGTATGAGGTTCAATCCCGGGCCAGACCTATCCTGCAATTGGTGCGCAACATCTAAGTTGGGGTTGATCTGGGGCGGCTAAAGGCGGCGGCTGGGGATGCAACTGATGAGATGAGGGGAACGGACGGAGATTCTCCAGCATCGTGCGGGGAAGCGGGCCACGGTCATGATCGTCCAGACACACTGATCGGATGAAATGCATGCTGAGCCACGTTTTCTCGAGCGGCAGATGATGGCAGAAGGCCACAACCATAGGTCCTAGGGTTGGATAATGATTTTGCTCTTCATGATATGAGGATTGTTTGCGGGGTGGTATCGCTAGGTGTATTCCCCACCTTACCCCCCAAAGACACTGGATACAAATACGGAGCAGCCTTCGGGCCTGTTGATCGGGTCGACTCTCATGACTACATGAGCGGCGTATCCTACGTGAGGCTACCCAAAACAAGAGATAAAATATCGGTTTCGGTACTAGAGCACGAGGGAGGACCATCAAGACGGTCATAGTTTGGGATCATAGTGCAATCGTTGATCTGGCTTCGTCAACTCCCGGGGATCGCTAACGCCGACCAAATTCAACTAATCCTTGCCTTATTTCAGAAGTTGGCTCTCTTCATTTTCCTAGTAACTTCTAAGTATTATCGGCTTTTCCAAGCGCAAAGCGCGCGGTTGCCTACGAGTCTGCGAGTCATTGTTCAGAAAGGGGTGAGCATTCGACTTTGCTTTTCATAAGCCAAGTCATGCCTTGTCGTGACCCGCAATAGCCTTTGAAAACACCAAGAAGTGGTCCTCAGACCCATCATCACTTGTTCTAGTAACTTGATGGTATAAATGACTGAGGAGAGCAGTGAGTTCATCCAAAGTCGACGCCGAGCAAGTGCTTGCAATAGCATGTACTGATGGCTGAGCGGAAAAGGTATGTCCAAGGAGAGTAAAGTCATTGATCGAAGGCCAGACACGTTTGAGAGTCTAGTGACGAGATTCCACCTGTCTTCATCCCGTATATTCGTCCCAGCGATGCATTAGTCGTTTTCCGAAAGAGTAGCTCCAAGAAGACTATCGTCTTGTGGGCATGAAAGAACTTGGTCTTTGCAGACGCCATATCGAATACGATCCGACTAAGGGGATGCATTTCCTTACATCGCCTCCAATGACAAAAACAGTCCTCTCCAAAGTTTCCAGGCGAGTCCATCCGATCCAGCGAATCCTCGGCAGATACGGCGGCGCCGCTCATGGCATAGACGATGTACCGTTGGGTGAAAAGCTTGACGGCATCTCGACTCCGCAGAAACTTTCAAAAATAGACCATCGAGCTTAACGCGCCCCGCGATCATGAGGGCATTCACGCCAAGACCGTATGACTGACAGCAACATGCCGGCGAATTCGATGCGTTGCACTATCAAGGCAAGGCTTTGAGTGCAGAAATGGGAAGTCTTGTCCGCTTTTGCCCCCTATGCGACCCCTTTACGGACAACACGAGGTTGCATTTCGGTTGTGGCTACCGCTCACCTGGGTCTTCTCGTTCGTCCGTGAGAACGTTGTCCTAGTAATAATAGTGAACACCGCCTCAAGGTCACTTCACTGCGAACTGATCGGAAAGCCCGGGACTCCTTGGGAGCATGGCGTGGCTTTGGGGGATGTGGATCCCTCCGCGATCTCCATGCGGAGTCTAAGTTCATCAGTCCGACCTGGGAAACACCCAGAAGATATCCGGTCGAAAGTGGAGAGGTCGTCCACCGTGCTCACGACATGCAAAGGGATCTCCCATTTTCGAACGAATGAGCAATTGTCGAAGCTAACCTACATGTACCATTATCGAAAGTTCATCCAATCATTGAAATACTCGGAAAGTGAGCAGAAGTGCTCAGAGTGACAATCTAGATGCAAACGGATGAGCCAGGCTTCGCGAGAGATGAGACGATGGTTCGGACGGTGAGGGTGGGGTGACCTTGAATGAGGCTCAAACCTTGGTTGATTGCTCCGGCTATATGCTCCGCATGATAACCCGTCAACGCTGGATCGCCAACACGGAGTCAATCGATACTTCTCCTTTTCAGGAGACTTCAGGTTGTGAAACATTTTTTCGAGAAGAAGTCTTCACGTGGAATTTTGCTTTGACGGGCGCCACTGTCACCAACTCTGAAGACCTCGCGTTAGTGATGTCAATGCTCGGCCATCGACAGCTGGGAGGCGCCAAAGTGGTGAAGTTGACGACAGCCACGTCACTAAATGAAAAGTCAAATTTGAAAGGGAGGGATATTGAGTGAATTCATATTGAGATTCTAGAAACATCGTCCTGACCTCCCGGCAATCGCAGCAGAGTTGCAAGGGCCTCCCCAGACCCAACGTCCGGCACGAGTCAATCAAGGGGCCACGATCTCCAGAAATTTAGGTTTACTTGCTTGGCTTGCTAGGAACATGATCATGCCCGAGTCTTCCGAGTGACCCAAGCCCATGGCTCGGGAAATTTGTCTCTCTCACAGCGCGAACTCGCTGCTCGCAACCGCCTCGTTTACTGTCGCTTGTTGTCTCGCGCCTTGACACACTGCGAATTAGCTTGAACAAAACACGGAGAGCTTCATCGCACAGCCCCTCCATGAACAAGCCCCTAACCAATATGCCCCCACAAACAGACACTGCCGTTGCCAAGTGCTCCCTCTCGGGATCTAGAAGGCTAGCGTCCGAACTGTTGGTTCCCTCTTCTCTCAGGGGCTGTTGAATTTTCATATAAGTAGGGCAAGAGATCGTCGAATGCTACAGACCTTTTAGGAAGTCATCATCAGCATCCAGCTCTTCGATCCAGTCTTTCGCTATACAAACACAATCGTTTCGATACTACCAACTTTCATTCCTTCGCTCAACTTCAGTAATCTCGATTTTCCCAAATCAGTCAAAATGCAGTTCACTTCCACACTCTTCTCCGTCCTCGCCGTTGCCGGCCTGGCCGCTGCCCTTCCTGTAAGCTGACTCGATCTGCTGCACTTGTTGAAACTGTGCTCGAACTCTGCATAAGCAAATATGAACTCAAACTAACAACCCAACAGCAGGCAACTCCCACCGCCACGGCCTCGGCCACCGCCACCCCTACCTGCTCTCCCGGCCCCACTATCGACTACACCGTCGTCTCCAACGACACCCTCACCATCATCTCCCAGAAGTACAGCTCCGGCATCTGCGATATCGCCAACGCCAGCAACCTCACCAACCCCAACTTCATTTCCCTCGGCCAGGTCCTCAAGGTCCCCACCTACGTCTGCAACCCCGACAACACTTCCTGCTTGTCCAAGCCCGGCACCGGCACCTGTGTCGAGGGCGGCGCGGCCACCTACACCATCGTTGCTGGCGACACCTTCTTCATCGTTGCCGAGCGCCTCGGCCTCGATGTCAACGCTCTCCTCGCTGCCAACCAGGGTGTTGACCCTCTTCTGCTTCAAATCGGCGACGTTATCAACATTCCTGTCTGTTAAGTAACCTGAAGGTTAGGGGGTCAATACGATTGTTTGGCGAGACGAACATTGGGTTGATCAAAGATTCTGGTTGGATTGGCACTTTTGTGTATGGATTGGACTTGTAGAATTTTATAGATGGTAGCTCACTGCATCAACTGAACTGGATACAGTCATGCGGCCGTTCCCATCCACTTTACATGCATGTGTTGTATCACAATATCAAGACTAAGAGTAACTATATGAGCATCCACCTGGGTCGTACTTTCTAATCCCGCAAGTACGATACAGGGAAGGGAACATTTACACGTACGCAGCTCCATCCACCTGCGATAGGAATAAATAGCTGTGAAGTTCAACTATTACCGGTCGGTTATACAATTTGATACGTTCGATTTACTTCAAAATAGGTGAAGATACAGCACAGATAAAGGTCTTTGGAATTCCGCTACATACCCCATTAACGTTAGTATTACTCGGAACCATGAGACATCAAATGATATCCAACCCATGTTCATACAAGTACATGTAGACTGATACAAGTACATGTAGATAGTCCCGCGTTTCCCGACAAGATACTTCTTTGTGAAGACATCTCTCCACAGATCACTGATTGTAGTACATGTAAATATCCTTGATCTTGAAATCCGCCTGAGTGACGGGGGGGCCGGCACTCCAGCCTTTATCACCGTTGGACCAGTTGTTAAACACCCAAGGACCAGTGGCGGTGGGCACATCGCCAGTCGTAGTCCATACCTGGACGCCGTCAACGTACCAGGTTACACGGCCAGGAGTCCAGTCGAGACGGTACTCGTGCTCGGTGGTAGTCGGGCTGGCAGGGGGAGAGATGGCGTTGTACGTCTTGATGCCATCACCGTCGGTATCTTGGTTGGTGAGCCAGAGCTTGCGAGTTCCCTGGTTGCTAAGGGAATCCGCATCAGAGAGCCATTCGATATCAGTCTCTTGGGTATCGCTTTGGTAGAAGAAAGCTCCTATGGGGTCTTGTTAGCATGGATTGGCAACTCGACTGTATATGCGCGACTTACCATTGCAGACTCCAGCAGGCTCACTGAAGATAGCGACAGTACGGACCGAAGCGTACTTGACGTTGAATGTCGTGGAAACCTCGGCAGAGCTGTAAGGCATCGTTGTCTGACCACCCGGAACCTTCAGGTTCATGTATCCGCCGCCGACAACGACATTAGCTGCGTCGAAGCGATGAGTAGGTGGGTCAGAAATGTTCCAGGTGCTCTTGTAGAGGTTGCTGGGAAGGGTAGTGCCACTCGCAAAGTTGAAAATCTGGCGCTTGGCATACGCGTAGCCGTCGACGACGTATTGACCATTTGTGACAGTTGGTGCAGGAGACCGGGTCAAAGCAAGAACCGGGCTAATTGCCGCGAGGGCAGATGCGATGAATGAGGAGCGCATTGTGATGAGAATCGAACTATGAGGCTAGGGACTTAAGTCTGAATGGCTTGAGTATCTCTTTCATCCCGTCTCTTCTTGCTGGGAGTAGCACTGGATTACTTATAGTCTTCACTGGCGGCATATATCTTTTCATCGTGAGGCATGGCCCGGCCTTAGGGCCTGGGCACGTCATGATCTGTTACTCGATGATGAAGACGCAACGTTGCTTGATTCCTGTCACGTAAGTCCATCGATTCTCTGATCTCCCCTGCATAGTCACCGAGGACCTGCTCGAAGGAAGGCGAGGGGATCCGAGGAGACGAATGACGCTCTCACGAACTAGCAGGGTCATGAAGGGGGGTTGCGCACACTCTGAAGGGATGAAAATTGGAAATCACTCAAGGCTCAGCGCAGCCAAGAAGAAGTGGCACTCCTCACCACCAATCGTTATTTCCCGCTGCGAAACATGGAGCACACCACTTCAGACCAGTTCACACAGGTTTCCCAGCGCCAAGTCCGACTTCCAAGGGTCTTCGAGGCTAGAATCAGGCTGACGGATGTGGCGTTGTCATGCGGGTACGATGCTGGGCTTCTCCCTTGGCTGAATCGCCTCGGAATTTCCATTTGATAAGTATTACCGGGTTCTAGGGAAGCCTTCATCTTTCACTCCCTTGACGTTGCCACCGGCCGAGAAAAAGTCCGCGCTTGACCGTCATCACAGCCTTAATCAGGGCGAGTAGTGAGACATTCCAGATCTTGCATCCGATGGCGGTAAACTGCAGCGACGGCAAGAGCCTAACGTCCACGAGGAAGACCCAAGGGGTGACATGTTGACCAAGGATTCCACATGCACCTGTCGATGGCAACACTCTCACTCTAAGGATTGGCTCCCCGGTCTCTCGGACTGGAGGCCCGCAGCCGCTCCCTTGACGGGCTGTCCCGCCCCGCTGCCGGGGTTCCACGCGTTTACCGACTGGTTTGCGCAGTAATTCATCTCACGTCAGTGCAGGCACCCCGGACTTTATCTGACCACCCCTGATATGTCGGTCAGTCATGTTGCTATTTGATCTATTGGAAGAACCACATGCTGAAAGACTAGGGCTGACGAATCGTAGCATTCTTCACCTCATTCACACATGAAGACAAGTTATCGATGATGCTCCGACGGTCTGGGACACGAGTGGATGGTCACATTGCATCAAATTTCAACGACTGGGCCATGAGTAAGATGGGATGAACTGACACCAAGTGAAATAGGAAGGTGGGGGAAAAGAGACGATCGTCTTGTCTCGCTTCTTTGCGAGCTCGCCTAAATGGCCGAACCAGCTGCAAGGTGGTGGGCAAGAAAATCACTCGGTCAGCCTCAGCCTGCTGCGAATGTGACAGAGTCGATAAATGTGACTATTGTCTCGGATTCGATGATGTAAAAGCCTCAAATCTTGAGTCCAAGCCATGATGTGCACTTTCGCCGAAGGGTGGTTCGACTGGAGTAGGTGGCTTGGGGTTCATGCAGGCTGGTGCAGCTGGAAGGCGGGCTGGGCTGTCGAATAAATCCACTTCACTTGGCAAAATACCACATGAAGCTCCTCGAAGGATTAATTTCATAAGTGCCCGAGCAAAAATACGAATAGTTCGGGGGGGGGGGGGATCCCAGTTTAGATAGGAGACCCCAATTTCCACTGCTAGGAGCGATACTCGGTCCACTCTGGGCCAACTCTTCGTCCTCCATCGCGCTTCAATCGCTTGGAAGAGACTCTCTCAAATTGAAAATGATAACTACTGCTCAGTTGATTGTGCATGGTGCGTCTAATTAGTAACTCTCAAGGTATGAATGCGCATGGCGGACGAATGAGTGCCATTAACGCACCGTCTATCACCTAATCCCAAAGAGCCCATGTTAACATCTCTTTTGTTATCCTCATGGTAGGCAATGGTGCTCTGAGACTGATATCTCAGCTCTTCGTAAGTTTAACGGTCGGGAGTACTCCAAGTTGTCATAGCCCTCCCGATAAACAAGTTTGATTTCCACAAATGCCATGACACTCCGTCATTCATATTAAATCTGCCGGTAACAGATTGCAAAGCCCCCAGCCCAGTCTTACTCATTAATGCTCTGTTAGCTCCATCTTAGAGTTACTGGGATGAGAAAAGGTGCTACTCTTACAGTCGTACTTTAGCTGTACGCCCAAAGGCTTGCAGCCCGGAATAACCTTCCCGCCCAAGGGGAGGGCCGTGAGAAGCAATCCGGCTCCGGGTAGCCGCAATGACAGCATGACAGTGCTGCAGAGCAAGTGCATCATGGCGTGTGATGGTGGCAGGGAGCTAACTCTTTGGCATTATCCCAATTTTATCAATGAACTCTGGATACTTAATCTTATTGGAAGGTATTCATGTGCTCATTCATTTCTTGATGCCGCAGACTCATACCTCTGAACACCTAGAAAATGAGGTAGACAGAAACCGGGTCTATCTCTGGTCAATAAGTAGAGAAGGATTACCGCCCGCCTATAGAGCGAAGGTAAGGGTACCTAGTGTAATTGGTGGTAAATTGCTTGAACCAGATGAGAGGCATGGAGATGGGCGGAAGCCCCTATTATACATTGAGTGCTCTGAGAGCCCCTACCGACCACTGTTGGGTCGCACATTTTAACACACCCATCTTCTGAACTTGACGAGTTAAACACGAAATAATGCTTATACGTATCATATGGTTGAGAGACTGACAGCCTAACGGCTTGTTCCATTTACTAGTTGGTTGTGGCAGGGCTTTTAATTGACGTGATTCGAAGCTTATGCTTTTCCCTTTCGAACAGCTGTTGCCAAAGCTAAGCCCTTATCCGTGACTACTTGTCTATCGTAAATGATATCATGTAGAGCATAGGCTACTGCATCAGAAAGGCTGCCGCCCTGAATTAAGTCTATGTGATGCGTCGTAATCGGATACCATTATCAGGTCCTCGTTTATGCACTTTGAAGCTACCAGCCTCAAATGACTCCCCCTTCTAGGTCAGTTACTTCGAAGGACCCACCACTAGCGCCTATTGCGCATTGTTCCCCGAGCCAAATGGCTCCTGGGAGCTGGCGCATACTTCAGCTTCTTCTTAGGGCTGGGAGCCACGGGCACGACCGGCTTCTGAGCTGTTTGAAGGAGTGCTTGCCGGGCTGCTCTTGCTGCCGTCTCACCGATACCGTCCTCTGGAATAATGGAAAGAGGGCGGCGGGCAATGTATCGCAGAGGATTGTAGCTGACGGGCCATACCGCGGCATGGGAACGGTTTCTCCCGTTGGCCAAGTGCGAGTGTTTGCCCCCGTTTACCAGTGTCTTCGAAGAATCCGAGCGGCCGCTGGTTTCGCTTCGTGAAGGGCTTCGGGAGCTGGATCGACTGGAGCCGGGACTCGATGTGTTGAACCACGACCCCGAAGAATACTCATTCATGGGAGTGCCGCTATATCGGGATGAGGAGGCGCTAGGGCTGGTATCCCGAGAGCTTGACTGGCTAGAAGGAACGGGCTTGCGCTTGATCTCGAATGTTGGGTGCTCGCTTCTGAGATGGAGATCCCATTGACCACCGTATTTCTCTCGATAGGCGGTTTCGAGGAAATTGCTGTAGACAGCCTTCTCTCCCATTCTCTCTTCCGCCATAATTTGCGTAAGATAGAGAAGCCGTTGGTTTTCCTGCTCAATGTGGGTCAAATTCGTTAGGGTGCCATTGGAAGACGAACCAAAGGGGGCATGTTGTTGGATGACTGTGGCTGGGGAGTAATACAGCATAGGTCCTTGCGCATGGTTATATAATTCAGGTATAGCTTTAGTTTTTCCTGTACCGATACGACGATTTTTGATAGATGCTAGAAGTCCCATGATGGCGTTTGTTGGAGAATTGATCTGAAACATGATAGTGATAGAATGGGTGATTGACGTGGTTGCCCCAGAGACTGAGTGCGGGTTGGATGTAGTTGATGATTGGAGGATGAAGGAAATCGTAGTGGGAAGAAAGGTAGGGGAGCACGCAATTAAAGCATGGAGCAACATCTTTCGGAGATAGATCAATAATGGTCCCATTAGGCGTATGGATCGACCATGATTTCATACTATTACCACCTGGATTAGAACGAATAACTTTACGGTGCCAGGCGTTAAAGTTTAATGTATAATTTACATGGCATCTTGGGAAACCACAATCAAAGAAAATTCAGGACCAAACCCCGAGCCAAGGATGGCGGCGTTTAAACAAGTGAGGAGGACGTTCCTTCACACTTTCCACGGGTTATCTTGGTACCTGATTTCTATCAAAGTTTGGCTCCAGCCTCGCGCTTGACAAGTGCCCTTAGATCTTTGCGCAAAATCTTCCCTGAGGGGCTCTTTGGGATGGCGTCGATGAAAATGACGCCACCACGAAGCTTCTTGTAACTCGCGACCTGGTCTGCCACCCACTTCTGGATTTCCTCCGAAGAAATCTGTTTCTTATCGGCGACCACATAGGCCCTAAGGGAGTGTTAATGAACCGGTCTGTGCTGGCCAGTGGAGTTTTACACATTGCGTACCTTGGGAGTTCGGTGCCTTCGCCATCGACGCCAATAACTGCCGCATCTTGGATCTTCGGGTGCGTGACCAGCAATGCTTCAAGTTCGGCTGGCGCCACCTGGAATCCGTTGTACTTGATGAGTTCCTGAAGATGGTCAGCTGTGGCTCCCTTCGAGGCATCACCGATACCATGAATCAAATGTCACGAACCTTTTTCCGATCAACGAAGTAGAACTTTCCATCCTTGAAAGACAGTCGGTCGCCCGTACAGAACCAGCCATCGACAAATGCCTCCTTATTGGCCTTGTCATTCTTGTAGTACCCCTTGGTGATGATTGGTCCGCGGCACCACATCTCCCCAGGCTGTCCGACCTCGACGTCCTTCCCCTCATCATCGACCAGGCGGGCCTCGCAGTTGGCTACAATCATAGAGACGCTGCCAGTATCGTCTGTGAGGTGGCGTGGGAGGATCGTGAATCCGCCGGTCGTTTCGCTTAGACCCCACGTCTGACCGAGGATCGCCATCCCCTTGCCCATTTTTCGCTGTGCTTCGGCTTGGGTTTCTCCTCCCAGGGCAGCAGCTCCCGTGAGGGCGAATTCTACGGTGTCGAGATGATCCTTTACCAACGGGGATTTCGCAATCATGAGATAGATTGGCGGTACGCTGAAGAACGAGGTGATTTTGTACTTTTTCGCGTAGTCCAGGAATTCCACAAAGTTGAACTTCTTCATCCAGTAGACAATGCCACCCATAAAGGTCTGATTGACAATGTAGGCCTGGAGACCGGATATATGAGCCGCCGGCAGATGCGCGAGCGTGATGTACTCCATCTTCGGGTGCGTCTTGTAATATTCTATCGTCGGCGTTGAGATGAACATGGTCTGCGCGATCATGTTTGCATGAGAAATTTTGACTGCCTTGGGGATGCCAGTGGTGCCACTGCTGTAAATGTAGCAGCCTACAGTGTTCTCGAGTCGCGTTTGGTCCGTCACCCGTTCCCAGTCTAGCTCATGCGTCGAAAGAGGGACTCGCTTATCCGTCTTGGCCTCGAACAGCTGGAACTCGTGGCTATCACCAATGTAGAGGATCCGGTCGTCGGGGAGTCCTGCTGCTGAGCCGCCAGCAGCGGCTAGTGCCTTGAGATCCGGGCTGCAGATGACCATCTTGCTCTCGGTGAGATTGATCTGACGCGCGACCTCTGGCGGGGTGGAGGACGGCGTTGACGCCGCGACGGTGCCGCCCGCTGCCATGATGCCGTAGAAGACGGTGGGTGCCATGTAGTGGCCCGTGAAGATGACCTGCACGACATCGCCTTTATTGATGCCATATTGGTGCCGGAGGGTATGGCCGAGCTGTTTGAGAGCCTTTACAAGGCGGGATTTGGTGATTGATCTGGATGGATCTGCCGCGTCGGCGTGGAGGACTGTTTCATCGCGCAGTCTTTCGTTTGGTGAGTCTGCACGTTGTCAGTACATGCATTTGGTAAAGGGCCAAGCTCGGCGATTTGTTGAGGGCTGGGGTTTGCGTGACGATGAGACTCACCGAACAGGAATGTGAGGAGGTCGACTTTGGGAAGATCAATGTGATCTGGGGACTTGTAAATCGTCTGGCCGCCCCGCTTCTCCACAACAGTAGCCATCTTGAGAGTCGTTGATTTTGTCAAATCCGGAAACTGTCGTGTTGTTGAATATCCTCGTAGAGATTCTCGCTCTCTAACATGCGTAGATGGGTTATGTAGAGCTCTACTGCAGTTCCACTTGCCGTGTGTCCACGCAACAGTCTGGAAAAGGGGAGAGATAACAAAGATGGAGATGAGGAGTTTAAAGAAGGTTAAATTGGAGTCAAGGCCGTAGACGTTGGAGGAAGTGATAGTCAGAGGTCAATGCACGCGGAATGAATTACTACTCAATAAATCAGACGTGAAGAAGTGAGCTTTTGGAGAATACTTTTGGTAGCTGACCAAGAAAAGAGAACGTTGTGTGAATCGAGCAGTTAGCTTTCCCCGCATTGCATCTCTTATCAAGATCCCGGGCCCGTCTCATGCACCGAAGCCGTGGCAAGCCGCTGGTTCCAGAGTCCCCGCGCGCGCGTTTCGCGAAACCATAGCTGATTAGATTGGCCGCTCGCTGCCGAGGGTGATTCTACGAGAGGGAGGATCGTTGCTCTGCCCGCTCGCCGACGTTCCAGTCTGCTTACTCGTTGGGGTAACCGTTTCGTTAGCGTCGTGTCTCCAAAGAGCTTGCCAGCGTGTTGGCTGCGCCCTGACGCCCTTTGGTGGGGGAGGATCTTGACCGGGGTCTTCGGTCGGTGTGTGTATGTGTGTGTGTCTTTTTGGCTGTGGATGTGCGGGGAGATTCCGTGGCGTTGAGCTATGATCCTTGCTCTTTGTGTGAGCTTCTGCTGGATTTGATTCGAGGTTAACGAGTCAAAGATTAAGGCATCTGATGCTCGACGGTGACTTCAGCAAGACTAGCACAGTTAACTATTGACAAGACCTCGGGATCGAAGAAATAACTCCAAGGGTACGCGTAGTCGTTCACTACGTCATAATGCAAGCCCCTGGTCTCAAGCTGTGAGATGAGTGCATGTGTGCCAGGAAACGATTCATTCAAGGCCTCAAATGGCCAACAGTATCCAACAGATAATCGACTAATGGCTGTGAGTTCAAAGGAAATCCAACTGTGGGATAGGTCGTCTCAGTCCCGTGAAAGTTATATATGAGACAATAAAAGATTGGTTCTCTCTTCGGATCACGAGCGAGACTTCATATCACACACGTTGACTAGCCAGTGCCGGTGCGTCTTACAACCTAAGCGTATTCTCTATTCCTTCCCTCTATGTAAGTAAGTACCGATCTTGCCAGATAACTGGATCCAACGAGAGAGCTTGAAGAATTTCATCGAGACATTGGTGGCGACACCTTCTCATAACCCCCTTCGAAAACATCCACCTCTGTCTTATCAAATTGCCTTGTCGCGGTGTTGTTATGGAAGAGATAATCCAGCTCCTCGTACGTTCGCCCCTTTGTTTCCGGCAATCGGAAAAATGCCCATATGAACGTGAGGAACGCTGAAGTTCCCCAAACGAAGCCTGTAGTACCCTTGAGGTTTAGCGCGTTCGGGTTGATGAAGAATGGCTGGAAGGCATTGGCCAGTAAATTCATAACGTAGTAGGTAGATCTGGCAACGCAAATAGTCTTCTGCCGGAGACGCGTTGACCCGACCTCGGCAGGTATGGCCCATCCAAGCTGACCGACAGACAGCTGGAAGATAAAGGTCCAGACAAGAGTAAGACAGGCCTGGACCCAGCCTATAGGTGACGAGGGTGCATTCGGCAACCGCCCTATCCTGTCGAGGATGCCAATGATGAAGAGTATCGTAGACATGCTGAACATGCCCCAGAGATAGATGCGACGACGACCAAAGTACGGCATCAGCGCGACCCAGTTGACGACGGTCCCGACCAGGGCCAGCGCGGTACCACCGACGTTGAGGTTGTAGTCGTCCTGCGGATTCAGCCCGGCTTGCTGAAAGAAATAGACCGAGTTATAGGCAAAGCTTGAACCGGAAAGCACTTGGCCTGCGAATGCTACGCAGGCGATTTCTGTGCGGCGACGTTCGACGCCGCGGAAGCAGTCCCAGTAGGTTGTTCCTGTCTGGTGCTCCTGCTCCATTCGATCGGTTTCTATAATTTCCCGCAGACGGACTTTGGCGTCTAGATTGTTGACTTTCCGTCTCTGTAGACGCAGTAAAGCCTTTTCTGCCTTGTCCAGCTGTCCGGTCCGGACAAGATGCCATGGGGATTCTGGCGCAAACACCAGCAGGGGGATGAGCAGCACCGGCCAGGACCACTGCAACGCGAACGGGATCCGGTATGACCATTCATCCTTCCGTGGCAGTAGTCCCGCGAGCACGGCCGCAGACATGAGCTGGCCGATGATGAAGCACATGTTGGTCCACGTCGTCAGGTACACCCGCAGCGTCAACGGCAAGACCTCAGATGCGTACGCGGGTGCCGACGATGCGAAGACGCCCCAGGGCAAGCCGCACGCGATCTGGCCAAGCATGAGCATGGTCTTGTTGGTCGCGAAGAAGGTGATGAAGATGCAGCCGGAGAGCACGAATAGGGAGCTGATGAGGGCGGTCTTTTGGCCACACCGCTCGACGAGGAATCCGTTGGCAATGACTCCGATGATGCAGCCGAAGGTACTGCTGTTGCCGAGCACGGCTTGCCAGAGAGCTGAGAGCTGGTCTCGGCCTTCATTGTCTTTACCGTCGCCGAATTTCTTAGCGAACTCTGGGTGAGCGAAGAAGCTGCCGATGAGGATGGTGTCGTAGCCTGTAAACTGGTCAGATTGAAGTGCTCGCGTAGTCAGCTTTGGAACTTGACTGACCTTCCATGATCACACATAGAGATACGACGAGACTCCAGAACACGGCCATCGGATAGGCGCGGATGGCATCTCGCGGTGCCATGGTACGTTCAGCGTTGATGGCATCTTGGAACCGTTGATCCATCTCCGAGCGAGTCTTGGCCAGACGAGAGCCCGAGCCGACAGACGGTCCGGCAGTAGACAACTCTTCAAGCTCGATGTCATCCGAAAGAAGAGATGCGGCATCGGCATCGGCATCGGATAGAAGGGCGAAAGCTTCGTCGTCGGCATCGTTGGGATCTGACGTTGAGTCAAAGGACGACCTTGAGGAGGTGGAGCCCGGCCCTGAAGGTCCCGAGGGAAGCGGCTGGAAGCGGGCACCGTTCCGTGAAGCGGATGCCATGGTGAGTTAAGCCGATATTGTGTGGCCAGGCGATCACGAAGGGGGCCTATGAGGCTCAAGGTTGATAGTTTGCGACTCGCTCGGTACCTTAGCTCATGGCTGGAAGTGATTGAGGCAGGCTTAGAGCTGGTTATCAACGCTCGGGTGTAGCAGGCAGAAGTTTCATCACAGCTCCCACTACGCAACGATTGAATTTGTCGTGAACTTCTGCTGCTTCGATCGCCAGAGGGTCGCTGTGAGCTACACGATAATGGACACCCTTGGATGAGCACACATCCCGCCCGTGAATGCCGTCAGCGATGCGCCGGATGAGCTGGGAGAGCACAGGCGCGTTTCAGAAGAGTCCGGCAGTGACCAGCTGGTGACAGATGGATCCGGAGACATTCCGAAATTACAAAAATCCAATGGCCGGTCGGATCGCCCAATTGCAAAGTTAATTTGTTCATGGGGAGACATGATGAACCTTTGTTCCAAGAACGGAATTACTGTGAATAGATGTTCGAATCTTGGTCGAAAATGCAAGAATATCTAACTCACAAACATAAAGACAACGCCCACATCCTGATCCCAACACGGCACGAAAGCTTTGCGTAAGTTGTACAAAGAAATACTGAGTTGTCCTCACCACTTTGTGATGACGAGACCTGGATTACCCATTCTTTAGGCGCTTCGGAGGAAAAATACCCCAAGTTCACTAATTGGGCAATTCGAAAATCCGAGGTCTCGGAGCTGGAATGTCCCAACGTGGCTAATTTACCCCCGAACCGCGCGGTGTGGGCATCAACCAGCCACATCTGGGCAGGTTTCGGACCCTTTCAAATTAGCTCATCCCAGGAGCTTAGCAATCAGCCACTCCATTTGTAAGTTGTCAGCAGTACCTTTGGTGTTGTCCGTGCTCACCGGATGCGTTTTCGTCGTGGGAGTTTCAATGTCTCTGAAGGCTTACACACTATCCGGGTGCTGGAAGCAATAATGCATTGTTTGCTCAGTACGGAACCGGGGACTCTGCTTGCGCCTCATTCACAGGTGTCAGAATGGCAGGAATATTAAAGGGTCGCACCTGCCCTCTTGTGGATGAAGGAGAGAGCATAACACAGCAAATCAATCACTCAAGCACAAACACTACAGCAACACCCCTCAAAAAGAGTAGGAAATCGTCTTCTAATTTACCATAACCATCAAATCAACGTAATATCGAAAAGAATTTCTTCCAAAAATGTCTGGACAACAAGGACGCAAGATCGCCATCGTCGGCGCCAGCGGTAACCTCGGTGGCTTCACCCTCAACGCCCTCCTCGACAAGGGCATCCACACCATCACCGCCGTCACACGCGCCGAATCCTCCGCCACACTCCCAGCCGGCGTCATTGTTAAGAAGGGCGACTACTCGGACGAAGATTTCTTGGTTTCTGCATTCAAGGACCAAGATGTGCTCATCCTGCAACTCGGCTTCGACAGCTTCATGACGGGCCAGGCCCCTCTCATCCGCGCCGCGTCCAAGGCCGGCATCAAGTGGATCCTACCCACCGAATTCGGCTCCGACCTGGCGCCGTCCAAGTTGCTCGAGGTCAGCCCCATGGTCGCGGGCAAGAAGCAGTTCCGTGATTTGACCGAGGAGCTTGGCATGAGCTGGATTGCTATCGTTAACAACCCATGGTTCGACTGGTCTCTCGGCCAGGGATTCTGGGGCATCGATATCAAGAACCGCTCTGCTAGGTTGTTTGATGGCGGAAACACAAAGTTCGTCACCACCACTATTGGCACCACCGGAAAGGCTACTGCTGGCGTTCTAAGCTTGCCTGAATCTGAGTTGGAGCAGTTCCGGAACAAGCCTGTGTACCTGAAGTCCTTCCACATCAGCCAGAGGGACATGCTGGAGAGCATCCTGCGCGCTACCGGCACAAAAGAGGCGGACTGGAAGGTTGAGGTTTTGGATGCAGAGGCTGTCGTGGCTGATTCAAATGAGAAATTCAAGCAAGGTGATCACATGGCTATGTTGGTTGGTTTCTACGTCAACCACATGCGTGAGGGTTGGGGCGGTGACTACAGCGCCAAGGTCTCTGACATGAGCAAGCTTGGTGTTTCAGAGGAGAACCTGGATGAGGTCGTCAAGAGGGTGGTGAAGGAGATTGGGGCCTAGTACGTTCGCAATTTAACTTCAATTTGAGTTATCGTATCGCAACATCGTACATATTCTAAGGACCCGCCGCATCTTAATTCATTCGAATCGACTTGAGCTAATGTGCGCGCATCACCTGTAACTTGTCCAGGGTGCATGTATTGTGATTTGCTTTGACACAATTGAGACAAATAGAGTCTTATCTAGTTGCATGCATCAAACCCCCTATGACTCCCGTCTATTAACCCACCAGTAAACCAGATAAAATCAGAAGATTGCGGATGACAAAGAAAAGGGTTAGCTTATGAAGCTTCTGAGAGTTGAAGGTCTCAAACCTCCCACTTCGCCATGTACCACCCGAGATCCCGTACTTTCCATGAGTCGGTACTTCTCCCGCCTCTGCCAGCAATGATGCCCTTCTGAGTCTCAACGCACGCCCTCTCAACAGTGCCAATAAGACCTGCCGGACCAGAGCCATACACCCAAGCATGTCCGACCGGGTACACTTTTGTGTGTTGTCCGACAACGAGAGCTCCACGAATACATGCTGTAGGATCCAGGCGCCCACTTTCTGAACTCACGTGTGCAACTACAGTAAGCTCTGGAACCGAAGAAGCCACCTCTTGGAGCTGAGTCCACTCCGTAATTGTCGAAGCCTCTCTTTGCCGCACAGCCCATACAAGAGTGAAGGTCGAGTTCGCTGGTCTTTTCTCCAGCCACCATGCCGCGAGACTCAAGGCACCAGTGATTCCAGTTCCGCCTACAACACACACGATGTGGGCAGCCGTTTTAAAACCGTCGTCACCGACACTGTAAGGCCCTTCAACCCGGACTTCAACAGCTTTACTCTCAAAGACTTGGGGGACGAGTGCGCCCAGCTTCCAAGTCCATTCCTTGTCCAGCCTCGTTTGCTTCTTTCCAGTCGTGGGCTGCAAGAGGAAAGTGGGACCAGCTCTGGTGGAAGCAGGAACCGCTGCGGTGAAAGCGTGATTCTGAAACTTGCTGAGGGATGGAATACTGAGATAGTAGTAGCTGAGAGGTTCGTGCAGAGTTTCTCCCTTCTCTTGGACGAGGTCATAGGTGCTTCCTGAGTCTTTCTTCGATACTGGCAGATGCGTGGAAATTCTGAGCCAATTACTGCCTGCATTTTCCAAGGTTGCACCCGTCTTCGAGGCAATACCGCCCGTCTGTCCGCCAAAAAGTCTGCATGCCCAGTCGGCGACCCAGAGAAATAGTCCAGGAAGGAGGAGATAAAAGTCAGTACTGGCGTGGACGCACGCCCCAATGAAGATGACTAGACCGAAAATGACGTGGTTGTAGTAGAAAAAGTTGTAGTGATTTCTCCGAATCCATGGAAGTGAGGTGATTATGATCAACCATACGGGCAATATGGCACCTATGCCAGTGTATGTGGTCATAGTGAACCATTCGCTTCTTTGCTTGCTCTCCGATAGAGTCATTGCTGGGTTGCCGGTTGCGAATGCTTCCTCCTTTGCCTCGTCGCCCTCGCTGCTGGAATCTGTTGCGTAGAGCTGCGCCTAATTAGAGTCTGCATCCAGAACCACAAATTGATCATGAGCTTACAATGTAGGTAACTCCATGCGCGGTTGCTGATGCTGAGAAGAGGTATGCAACGATCTTATGCGCGTATAAAAGCGTGCTGTGATGCAACGAGAACCCCCTGCCAAGCAGACTGTTTCTTGAAACAGGGATGACCAGTAGTCCAAGAAGGATATCGGCATAATGGCCAGTGACTCCCGTAATCGTGAGTTTAAGCTTGGCGCTCGCCCATCCCAAGGGGTCAGCTCTGAAACCCCAGAAATCCCGTTGAGCAGGCAGCCAAAAGAGAGTCGTAGAGGCAACCACCACCAAAATCCAGACACAAGCTAAGATACCACCAACAGTGACTCGTTTGCCTCCCAAGGGCATACGAAAAAGATGGTAACCACTCAGGGTATGAGCCCACGTGGTGTAAGATCGAAGGAGGAGGAAACAGCCGAAGCCGGCGACTAGGCCAAAGTAGACTAGAATGTGTAACCTTGTCTCGAATTCGAAATAGTCCTCGGAGCAAAACGTTGCGTAGCATGGTGCAAAGGTGAGTGCGATTGTTCCTGCTGACGATATAACAAATGTTAGGAGCAACAACAGGATATGTACTGGTTGTTTCATAGTTGCTAATGAATTGCAAAGGACGGAGACTGTAGTCGAAGTATGAGAAGAGCACAATTATCAAAGAACAAGATGAGATGAGTTTTCATTCAATCTGCTTCAACTGGATTATTGCCAGTCCTTTAAGTCCAGTCGCGGGCAAAGAGTTCGTCAGCAAAGACCCTTTGCAAAGTTCAGATTGATTATCCACGACTTGGCACTCGTCTGAGCCTCTTGCTATCTTTGGAAACCACAGCAAGAACAAGAGGCTTCTCCAGCAGTTGCATACTTGCCAAGATAAATCGTGTTAGGAGCGACCATGTCATGGGTAGCTTTCGATTGTGACGGGGAATAAAGTCAATGTCCGACGGAGTTTTATGGTCACAAGTGCACCCAGCGGACGAGAACTACTGGAATCTACGCCCCTTACAACAAGTGCCAAGAGATCTATCGGCATTGTAGGCCACTGCAAAGTGTCCGAATAGATAGATGCGAAGAGTGACCCACTCTCTGTCTACCTAAACCTCTAGGTTGTAAGCCTATAGGTAACCCTGAATCGGAGAGTACGGAGAACCCTACACGTGGAAAACTCACTTATGCGGAGATGATTGTCAAAGCTATTGCCGCCTACACGCCCTTCCAAACGGACTCGTCTGTTTGAAAAGAATTATGGTGGATCTATCGAAGTCTGAATGCTCTGGATTTATCGTCTGCTTGTCCCCGTACCTCGAAGTCCTTTCCTAGCGCCTTTACGTCGAGTACGTGCCTTGAGGCGATAACGACATGACTTTCGAAGTGGTTGCTGTCGCTGAATGCTCTGAAGCTTTCCGACATCGAAGTTGTGATGGAAGTCATGAAAGATAGGGGGCACGTCTGTCCCAGAACGAGGGTTCTTGGGACATTTCGTTGCAAGCTGCTTTTTGAAGCCGATTGCGACTTTCTAACTTTATTGCAACTTCAGCATGTTGAGTGGGCAGGTGATGACCGTATCGGAATTAGAGTGAACAGTCTAGGTGCAGTATCAGACTTCTTCTGACTAGCTGATCGCGCAACTCATTCTTCACAAGTTGTGCACGATCTGCTTGGCCATGGTTCGGATTCGTTGTCCTAAATCAGGCCATTGGCTTCGGTTCAGACTCCTCCTCGGGCAGGGCGGACTTGGCAGCTATGAAGCTACTGCATGGTAGATAGGTCGAATGGTTCGACCCTGCATTCAAGACCCTACGACCATGATCCTCACAGATGTTGAAAATTTCGTCAAGCGGTCCGCAAGGGGTAGACGTCCGGCCTTCGTGAGAAAGATTGAGGCCAAGCCTCCGAGCTGACCTGTCATTACGGGACGTTTGGCAGGCAGCCGTTTACTCCCTGTGTATCGTGCGTTAGCCGCTAGGCTTAAGCTTATTTTGCCAGCCATACTGGTGACGGACACTATCACCACCACTTCTCTCAGCTGGAACGCAACAAGCCATGTACAAGAGCTACACCATATTTCTCAAGTCATCGTCAGAACTGTCGATGTTTTCCCGAAAGATTGTAGACGATACTACCGTTGTTACCTTGCAGTTTACCCGAATCCAGATATTTCTGGACGCGGAGTAAGTCTCGTCACCCGAGATTTTCAAGGAACATCCAAGACATTATTAACATGATCCATAGTACTCACGGCCTTTGTAGTGTCCGCTTATCTAGTGCTAGCTTTAATCGTTTGGGCGTACTGGTTTGGGGCCTTGCCGGAGGGTCTCGTGCGCAAAGTTGACCGAAGTCTCTTTTTCGCTCGCAGAGAGCACCCCGATGACAGATGGAGAATGATGGTTGTGGAGCTTGTTTTGATGTTGAGCGATCAGCAACTTCTCACTGGTCTTACCATTCTCTTGGTCGGTTCCAGTCAAGCATTAGGGGGCTGTCTTGGCGTATACCATTGGAACACTGTCATCTACCTGGGGTGGCTCAGCTCAACAGTTCATCTCATGTCCCTATCAGTACTTCGGGAGCGACTAGGAACGAATAAGATCCTGCGGTTTGTTCGACTGCTCGCCATGATCGCAATCCTTGGGCTTCTCCTTGCTGCCCTGGTCCCGACAGTCACAGACGGGTGGGTAAGCACAACTGCAGTTCTCTCCGATCATTTCGGACCAGGGCTACCAGTACATTGTCTTTGGGATGTCCATTATTGCGGCGTGAACCAATCGAGCGATTCTTGGATATCGTATACTTCTCTCCTCGGGGCCTTCGCCGGGAAATTGTGCCAATTCTTCGGCGGAAGTCGGAAAAAGGTACGTTTTTGGGGACGAGCCCGCTTGGATTATTTTCTCGAGAAGACTGCAAGGCGCATACTGCAGAAACGGCCAAGGTGGCATACGCGAGTAACTTACAAGACTATTATCGGCATTTACGTCCCTCTAGTGGCTTGTATGGAGCTCTTGAAATCATTCATGTTCACCATGTTTCTTCTCGCATTCACATTGGTATGGGGTACGTATTAGCTTTTCCATCGCAAGGGCCAAGTTGGGAAGGAATTAATTTCAGCCGAGCGCAAGATGGGCTTAGATCAATTACCTCCAATTCTGCTGCTGTCTCAGCCTATGTTTGTGGCTCTTCAGATTTATCTGGGTGAGTGAAAGATCTGTCGGAACCAGTGCCAACTTGAAGCTGTCACAACAGGTCACTGACTAACAAGTATCGTCTGCAAGAACAAGTTGTAAGCCCCATCCGCCGACCGTCAGCAACATCTCTCCCCTTTGGAACTCTACATTCTCTTCGCTTGAAACCTCAGGAACTTTAGCAGAGGCAATCCAGAGTCATCACGGTTTACTATCGGCCTCATCAAAAGCCACTGGGCAGCTTCAAGACCCAGTCATTGATCATCTTTACCGATCCAAGGTCTTTCTTAGCTTTATGGTATGGCTTTGTTTGACCATAGTACTTCAGGTGGCGTTGGCTTTTGCTTCGCCTGACGGTCGGACCGGCCTTCTCGAATTTTCGATTCCTATTACGGTTGTTAATCCCTTCATATCCTTTCCTATGTTCTTACCCCGTGGTCTAAACGACTTGCGTGACAACCAATCAATGTCCCAAAGGTCATTACCAAACTAGGCGAAGTTGCCAGAAATTCAACTTACTTAATGGAATAAACTAGTCTTTTATCTTGAACCGTCGCAATTGCTTGTACTATTCACTACCGTCTACTTAATCTGAAGAATTTACGTGATAATACACTCCGAAGCAGAGAGCAGTTGTGCAAGCACCCGAGTCCCGCAACACAGTTCTTTCTGTTTGAAAATAAGGCTTAGCTGCATAGAACTCCTGGCCCAAAACCGGAGCAATATGTGACATAGGATTATCGCACACTGGCACTGCACTGAGAATACCAACATAAACGAAGAATTTCCTTCTACTTTCACCGACTCAAGTTGCGGTTGAAAGACATGCGATGGGATCTAATAATTCAAGTCGCATGTACAAAAGGTCGATGCAGTCTCCTGGAACGTCAGTTGGTTGATACCAACAACTTCCTAATATCGAGTGGCATATCTCCTCCAATCTCCTCCAAGTACCATTACCCAAGGACATTGGTGAGAGGCAGTAGACCTCAACCCCGATGCGTTGCAATTGTCTTATTCGCGATGCTGCTATGCTCGGATCGACAAGGATCCCCCCGCTGAAGATGCAGAGCCGAAGAACCGGAGCAACGGCCCCGCAGCGCCAATACCACCAATGACCTCTGGGACCGGGCGCACGTGTAAGCCGCGGCTCAAGATATGCCATTCATAAAGAGGACTTACACTGTTTCCATGCCTTGCAAGCCTGGCAAACTTACGGAGTATACCCATCTGAGTATGCACGATTGATAAGAAGAGGGGTTCGCGAATGCTACTCTACGATAATCCCTGGTAACTGTCGTCATTGAGAGAAGACTAACGATTTTTGATGTCCGGTGAAGGGATTCAATGTCCAATCATTGTTGAGATGATTACCCACGAGCCCGGCCGTCTGAAGAAAGCACGTGGCGAGCGTCCATTCAGAGCGAGAAACAAACAGCCTGGGATGGAAGCTGCGGAAGCTCATCCTAGGCACCTTGCTCCAGGAACCAAATTGAAATAGGAGTTCATAAATGGCGGCCTCCGCCATCAAAGCTTATCGATGGCTCTTGCTTGGCAACCAACTGGTCAGCTCTTCGCAGTCATTTCATTGGCACCTCAATTTTCTACACATTGATAGGCACAGCCAATATGGTTCAGGCCATCTTTGCTGTCTTGGCCCTGGCCACTGCGGCATCGGGTGCCTTTACAGGTAACCTTAACTACCTGTCGCCGTCCAAGCACCACGCCTCGCTCGGTGTCTCCATCAACAAGGTCGCCAAGCGCACTTACGCCAACTCCCACTGGGATCCGGCCAAGCTCAACTTCACGCATGGCGTGGCGTCCGGCGACCCGTACGAAGACAGCGTCATCTTGTGGACGCGAGCTGCCCCGACAGCCGACAATGATAAGAGCAATCTGACCGTCAGCGGCTACGTTCCTCTTTATGACCACAGCACCGAGGACTACGTGAAGAAGAGTGACTCGCCGGTCTGCGTTGACTGGAAAATCAGCGCGAGCAAGAGTCTTGATTCTGTTGTTGACTCTGGTACTGCTTACACGAGCTCTGATGTGGATTACACTGTCAAAGTTGAGGCCAAGCGGTTGACGCCTTTCACGGTCTACTGTAAGTTGCGACTGTTCAGACTTGACCAAGGAGGGTAATTGACACACAGTCAAGACTATCAGTTTGGTATCTGCAACTCCAACAAGACGTCTCCGATCGGTCGCACAAAGACAATCCCTTCAAAGAACTCCCGAGTTGAAACGCCGATCAAGCTTGCCGTTTACTCCTGCAGCAACTACCGTACGTCATGATAAAATTTCTGCACTAGACGTACAGGATATTGTACACTAACTGTGCGAAGCTTTTGGTTTCTTTAACGCATACGGCAACCCAGTACGAAAGGACTCAGTCGATTACGTGATCCATCTTGGGGACTACATTTACGAGTATGGCAATGGCGAGTACGGTTGGGGCAATTCAATCGATAGAATCCCTCTTCCCGATCGCCAGATCTACACGTAAGTAACTTTCAAAATTTTGTTACAGGGAACCAGTCAACCTGACTATTTAGGAAGTCTATATGACTACCGCAAGCGCATTGCGACCTACAGAACCGATTTGGACTTGGTAGCTAGCCACCAGAGTTTCCCTTGGATCCCCGTTTGGGATGATCACGGTCCGTAGCAGCTCTCTCTTGTCCTGTGTAGGCTGGGACTAACTAGAAACAGAGGTCTCGGACAATACGTGGAGAGATGGCGCGTCTGAGCTCAACAACACTGAAGAATCTTTCATCGCTGATGGAGGTGTCTCGGTTGATCAGCGCAAGATGAACGCTGTTCGCGCATACTTTGAGTGGAGTATGACGAATTCTTTACCATTTATGATACCGATGCTAACGCCATCAAAGTGCCCATCCGCCAAGTCGATATGGATGACAACCTCCGCATCTGGAGAGAATTCAACTTTGGCAACCTCTTCGACCTTGTGATGCTAGATACTCGCCAGTATGATCGCGCTGTAAGTAACCCCCTCCTCACGCGAGACTTTCAGCACCCATATAATTTTCCCCGCCATAGATCACCGATGTCTATACCAACACCGACTACGTCCATGCCATTTCCAACGACGCAAGCCGCTCCCTTATGGGCCCCCGCCAAGAAGCCTGGTTCTACAAAACCCTCCGCCAAAGCTCCACCCGCGGCGCGACCTGGCGCGTCATCGGCAACCAAATCATCTTCAGCCGCATGAACGAGAGCCTGGCCCTCGGTGCCGAGAACCCGATGAACTACGACCAATGGGACGGATACCAAGCCAACCGCAACCGCACCTTCCAGGTCCTGTACGAGGAAAACGTCGGCAACAATATCTTCCTCGCGGGTGACTCACACGCCTCGTGGGTTTCCGATCTTGTTTGGCTCGGCGAGCACGAGTACGACCAGAACACGGGCTCTGGCTCCGTCGGCGTCGAGTTTGCGGGCTCGGCTGTGAGCTCACCGTGCCCGATTGGGCAGAATGTCTCGCTGGCGGTGGCGAATGCGGGATCCGCGTGGCTTACGGCTGCGAACCGCGAGTTGCAGTGGCAAGACCTATTTTACAGGGGCTATTATGAGCTCAGCATCGACTACGATGCTGTGAACGCTTCGTTCTTTGGTATCCCTACGACGAGAATCAAGCAAGGATACGAGATCTCCTTGGCCAACTTTACTGTGCTGGCTGGTGAGAATAAGCTGCGTCGTCTGAACGGTTCTGCGGCTGTTGGAGGTGTTGCTGAGAGTGGCAGCTTGAAGAATGGTCGCGTTGTACAGACGAACTTGACGCATGATACAGGCAGCGGCGCGTACCTGAAGTACGACTCGCCTTGAGGCGTGCATTGACGACGAGACAGGAAGTTTTCTATTCTCTTTGGACATAATTACGTTCCTTGCTATGGTGTAGGCGAAGAACAATTCCCGTGAGCCTGTTTGTCGCAGGCGCACTTTCAAGTACATATTCTTTTCGATACCTAAAGTAGTCACATTCACACACAGCCAAAACTCAGGTGCACCTCACTTAGCGTGCAAAGTGCCGAGCGCCGGCCCCACAACCCACTAAATCAACTTCGTCCCATGAACAACGTCCCACGGATATGTCTCCCCTTCACCCCAACAACACCGCACAAGCACTCGATCTGATTCCCTAGATCTCTGATTCGCGGCAACGATATCTTGGCAGAGACGTTGGAATAGTACAAGAATATGACAGATATGGATGTCGATTTGAGACCGGATCGTCGAACCAGCACCCGGAAACCGGCAAGCCCACCCGCAGTGGGCGCTTCAACGCCTACGGCATCAGCCAGACGCTTCCGCTCGGCTTCTCAAGCCGAGGCTGCTCGGACATCCAATGCGTGCCAAATTTGTCGGGACAAGAAGGTCAAGTGCTCCGGTCAACGGCCTTGCAAGTACTGCTCCAAGCGGGGGCTGGATTGTGTGTTTTCTGCTTCGGAGAAGAGGAAGTTGTATTCCATCTCGTAGGTTTTGCTCCAGCTCCACTGCGGTGATTTACTGTCGACATCAATGAGGGTAACCTGGTAGCTGAAAACAAAATAACACGGTGCAGGCAGATACGCGAGCTTGAGAACAAAGTTGCCTATTATGAGCGACGAAGTAGAGAGAAGTCGGCTCCCGAGGTCGCTGCTTCAGCGCAGTTGCACGATGTCGAAGATTCTTCGAATGAGATCACAGTCATGCATTTTGACGACCAGCCAGATGGTGACAGCACAGTTCCATCACCCGCTATACTGGTTCAGCCTGGGCCGACGATGTCTCAATCAGCAATATCCCCCACCCTCGAAAGAACGAGAACCTCGGAGGTCCAGGCAGGAAGAGGTAAGTGTACTTTTATATATCGACCCTCAGACAACATTTTTGTGCCTCGGATACTCATCCCGGCGTAAAGCAATTGCACCCGAGTCCGCCCTCTCCTCGAGCGAGACCTTCGGATCCGAGATTAAGACGCTCCTCGTCTCCCGCTCCAACCCCGGCTCAGCCGCCAGCCCGACGTCCACCATCAACGCCGTGACTCCGCTTCCGCACATCGATAGATGCGCCATAGAGATAGCGATAGGAAACCAGTGGCCGACGGAAGAGGAAGCTCACGCGATGCTCGACGTCGTCGTCTTCAACGTCGGTATTTCGCAGCAGCTCTTTGACGTGCGTGCTTTTTCGGACAATCTGTCCTTCCTGTATCATGAGTCCAATGCCGCCGATATGCGGTTGCCGGAGACTTGGATAGTAGAAGCACTACTTATCTTTGCGGTCGGGAGGCTACTACAGGGACAGGATGACGAGGATGGAGGGCTTCCGGGGACGATGTTCTTCCGGGAGGCAGTGAAAAGGACGCCTTTGCTGAGTGATATGCGGAAGCATGGTATCATTGGGGTGGAAATTATGGCTTTAACTGCGTTATACCTGCAAATTACGGATCGAAAGGATGATGCATATCTACATGCAAGTTGAGTTTAGCTTGGCATCCGCATGATTGGTTTGCTAACTTGTGTAGTCCAACACTGCTTTGCGACTGGCCATCAGCCATGGTATGCACCGAGCAAACACATGTCAGAACCTACGGCGGTCGGAGAGCGTACATAGGAACAGGTTGTGGTGGTCAATCTACATGCAGGAAAGGTAGGTACTAAATCGTGAAGTCTTGTCCGGGACTGAAGCTACAGGCAACTGACTCTCTACCCAGGAGGTTATGCGCTGCAGGAGGATTTCCCATGTCCATAGAAGACTACGCGATAACCACAAAACCACCATACGAGGTGCTAGGCTTCCCATCTGCTACTGCATTAGGCGTCAACGTTCTAGCGGCAAGAATCACCGGCAAGATAACCGCCAGTTAGTCGCCATGTATTTGGTACGACTCGGGACAAGACTGACTTCATGACAGCAATCTACTCGCAAAGGGGAGACCCTGAGGCGACCTTTATCAACAATGTCCAAGATATTCTACACTCACTGTACGAAGTGGAAAAGACTATGCCTTCGGAGTACTCAATGGAGATTAAGCACTCGGGTTTAATCGTTGCAGGACGACCCTTCATGGAAGCAGCCATCACAGAATCAAGAACTAGCTCCAGCTTGCATATCTCGGTCTACTCGGTACTAAATGATCAGCTTTTGGAGACAGGAGATGTTTGCTAATGCACGTAGGCTGTGATCCATACCGTTCGACCAATCTTGCTCTACATGGCTCGAAATAGCCGCGATCCAGAGCGTAACGGCTCCCATAGTGACGTCAGTCCGGCACTGGTACGCCTCGCTGAGATATGTATCGAAACCGCAAGTAAGACCCTCGTTATTCTGCAAGAGCTCCAGAAGAGAGAAATACTCGGTAGGCATATTTTTATACTCCCATACGCTTTTCTCGTTAACGATCTTTGATGCACAGCAAAAAACGCATTCCTCGATCTAGATGCGACATTCTCCGTGGGCTTTGTATTCGTCCTCGTTGAGGCCATAAATCCAGGCAACATACTTGGGCACAAAGGCATCGACGGGTCAAGGGCCATTCTCAGGTATCTCGTAGCCCTAGGTAATCGACCTGCGGCCAGTCGCTTGGCGGAACTCGATCAGATGTGTACGCATCTCGCTCTACCCGTCCACCAGTCTGGCGGCCAGACTCCCCATCCGTCGTTCATAGATCTCCTGACGCAGAAATTTTCGTTTTCGAGTGGGTACGGAAACTTTGATGTGGCCCTGGAAGGACCATTAGCCATCGACGGTCCGGCAATACCGAGCGCTCAGGGACTATCTGATGGCCAGGAGAACGCTGAGCTAGTAGCGGGAGTCCATGATATAGATGGCCAACACGACTTCGGCTTCAGTGGGGCCGATTTGGCGAGCATACCGCTGGAGGGCGAGGACAGCCTATACTGGGTCTACCACACCCCCGGGTTCTCGTTCACTGGCGTCGAGCAGACGGATTGGGAAGCTCTCGAAAACCAGATTCCCTGGGGCAGCCAACAGTGATCCTTGTACTGTCAGCCTCCCAACGGAAACAGTACATGGAAAAGAGTCTGGTGCGGGTGCGCTGTAGCCCGGCAACTTCAACCATCCTCGGTAACTTCCCAGTCTGATATTGTTTCAGTGACCAACACGTCTAGCTCAACGCCATCAATCTACGCCGAGGCGGATGCTCTGCACTAATTCTCGGGTGTGGTTCCCGAGGGCAAGTAAACCCATAGTCTCCGGCCCAGGGTTCCGCGCATGAAACAGGGGGCCGATAGCAGAGGTCCCAGGCTTCACGCCCAAGGCAAATCGCGAGACTCGGTCTGTTCCTTCTTCAGGTTTGCTGGATTGCGGAGAGTCTGGGGCAAACCCCGCAATCTCCTGACCCCCACGATGGACCGTGTGCTTCCCCAGGTACCAAAGGTAGCCCACTTTGGAAGCAGACGACGAGGATACGACTACTTAAGGTCACACGAGATCCCTTCCTGAATTTCGCTTTATTTATAAACCCCTTAGAATTTTGACGGGAGACTGTCTTATCAGAATTCCAGTCTCTAGCCCATTGAGCTAAAGATTTGACACAGTTGCCGCCGACTACGTGGTCGTATGACTAACATACAACTCACCGACAGACGGCCTCCTAGTATCAACAGGTAACAATTGTTGACTTGACTACGAGAAATGGCGAATGTGAAAGATAATCCGCAAGCTGCCACGGCTGAAGAGCTAGAGATGACCAAGAAGCAAGACGAGGAACATGTAGCGTTTGAGCAAATCAGCCCCGAGGAGGAAGCAGCTCTCGTTCGAAAGCTCGATCGAGTATTGATGCCCCTAATGGCGTTTGTCTATTTCTTCCAGTGTAAGTTTGCCTTCTTAAACTCTCATGAGTGCCCTCGCTCTAACTGTCCCCGCCAACAGATCTCGACAAGCAATCCATCAACTACGCCTCAGTCTTTGGTCTCCGCAAAGACCTCCACCTAACAGGCCAAGACTACTCCTGGATCATATCTCTCTTCTACTTCGGCCAGCTATGCTCCGAGTACCCCGCCGCCTACCTGATGGGCCGCCTCCCCATAACTCTCTTCGTGGGAATCACAATCATCGCCTGGGGCGCCGTCGAAATGACCCTCGGCGCAACGCAGGATTTTGCAGGCCTCGCGGCAGCTCGCTTCTTCCTCGGCTTCGCAGAAGGCGCCGTGTCCCCGGCCTTCATCATCGTCACGTCAAACTGGTACCGCCGCCGCGAGCACCCGATCCGCGTCGCGACGTGGGTGTCCATGTCGGGCGTCTCGCAGGTGCTCGGCGCGCTGATGATGTACGGGATTGGCGGCGCGTCGGCGATGGCGCTCGAGAAGTGGAAAGTTATGTTTCTTATCAGCGGCGGGTTGACGGCGGCGTGTGGTGTTGCTTTCTGTGTGCTTATGCCGAGGGATACTACTACAGCATGGTTCTTGAACGAGAGGGAGAGAGAGATTGCGACGAGGAGGTTGGCTCTTGATCGCGGTACTAGAGACCGCGCGGAGTTTAACACAAAGCAGATGTATGAGGCGTTGAGGCAGCCAGTGACGTGGCTGTATTTCACGATGGCGCTTTGCATCACACTGACGACTCCTATTCTAAAGGTAAATGTCCCCCCTCACTTTCTTTAGTAGCGAATAGACCTGACACTGCGTTGTTCAGTTCTCTTCCCTTGTCATCAACGGTTTCGGCTACTCCTCCTTCACAACAATGCTCGTCGGCCTCCCCGGCGGCGCAATCAGCTTCATCACAATCTGGGCTAGCGCCCTCATCCCGCGCTTCCTTCCCGATACGCGAATCTACACCTCCATAGGCCTCTCCGTCGTCCCGCTCCTCGGATCCGCCATGCTCCTCGCGCTACCCCTATACGGCGCTGAGTGGGGCATCGTGGCAAGCACCTGGCTCGCGGCGTGCTGCAGCGCGCTCCTCAGCTCCACAGCGTCAATGATGGCGTCCAACGTCAAGGGGAACACCAAGAAGAGCGTCGTTAGCGCGGGGTTTTTTATCGTATACTGCGTTGGGTGTATTGTTTCCCCGCAGGCTTGGACGGAGGGGGACGCGCCTAGGTATACCAAGGGATGTATCTTGAGTATTGCGAGTTGGGTGGGGTTGATTGTCACGTATGCTGTGTATGGAGTCGTTTTGAGGAGGGAGAATGTGAGGAGGGATAGGCTTGCTGCGGAGGGGAGGTATGAGTATGATGTTGGGGGCTATGGTGGGGGAGAGGAGGCGGTGCAGATGGGCGTTGCAGTTGATTCTGACTTGACGGATGTGCAGGACAAGGCATTCCGGTACAGCTTGTGAGACTGGGAACAAGGTTTGCGTATCTCACCGAGGAGTGATGTATGAGGGCTGGAACTCTGTACGCATTCAATTTGGTTCCAAGCTCAGGTTAGAAGACGGGCGACATGCTAGTTATAAGCTGATCTTGCTTGTGTCTAAGAAATGCCAAGTACTAGCCTACTAGGTAGCAGCTACTTTGTCCCACAATGCACTACTGCGAGAAAGATTCATTGCTGGCACAAGGCCATAAGATTGTGCAGCTATTGCGTCTTCTTCGCCTTTGCGAATATCTTCCTGCGCTGCTTGATCATGTAGGTGTACATGGTGTAAGATCCTAGCCAAGGCGTACGTATCAGCAACGAAGCGAGTGGCGCGTTACCAAATCATAGGATCAGGGCTGACCTACCGGGGATGTACAACAACAAGCAAAAGTAGAATACAGGCGGGATGAAGGCACTGATACGAGAAGCAGGCTCGATAGCAAGGTACAATAGCCAGAATTCCGAGGCTATGCCGATGGGATATAAGGGGTAAAACATGGTGTATCTAGCATTCATCGTCAGTTCAGATTGCCCCAACAAACCAAGATGAGAACAAAACAGAGTAAAAGTCCGCATAAACGTACCGCACCCAAACAAGAGCATCAGGCGCCTGGCCATGCAGGTTCAACGCGAGGTAAGCATAGCGAACGGTATCAGCCGTCGCCCACGAAAGCAGCAGCGCCACATAGGCGGCGGAAGACGCCGTGGTCTCGGGGAAGCTGTGGCAAACCATCCAGACGATGATGGTGCGGGCGACGACTTGGAGGGCTGTTGTGCCGACAGGGGATTTGACGAGGCCTGGGATTGAGTCAGTTCGAGTTGGTCTTTGCGTGCGTGGTGTCTTCTCATCTCGAGGGAGTGATGGGGGCGTGTAGTTACTCACCCACGGCAGAATGAACAACCTCAATGAGGGTGAGCGTCTGCACCCATCGCGAGCGCGGTTCGGCGGCTTGGTAGACTGCGAGTCTATCCTGGGACAAGGCGGTCGAGGCGACGGTTAGGAAGATGGATGCCCATAGTGCTGCAAAGAGAGTGTTATAGAGGGTTAGGTATGCGACTCTTGCATTGCTGCCGCCGGGTGTTTGAGGGTCCTTTGCAGCCATTGCGCTGGTTGAATAGTCCTGATTCTTACGAGTCACGGTTGTGAATAACCTCAATTTCTTGTAGCATGTGAGTAGAAAAGCTTGGGCCACCCATTGACTTTTTCCTTTTTCTTATCTGCAAGCTCACAGAAACCCCTGTCTCTGCTGGTGGCCCAGGCGTGATGACTAAGGCATCTGACTGGCGCATAAATCATCCACCGCACCTGAGAATCAACAGGGGTAAGACAGAGAAAGGGGAACAACAGGAATTAAAGTCGGAGGAGAAGAAACCGTCTGGCCGGGTAAACCGTAAGGGATGAGTAAGAGAAGCCGAAACCCCCTGCAAATGTGTACGTACTCTTCCAGTCCCTGTCATCGGCTGTCAAATGCGGGTAATGCATTGGCCAATGGAGCGGCGGTGTTTGGCAAGCTATGGATCCACTCGGGCAGCTGTCCCGGGATGCGGATGCGGAGCCTTTCCGATTTCTTCCCAGGTGGTTACCGGGGGACACCGAGTGCGCCGCTGCTTTTGTCATGGTACTGTTTGCCTCCAACTAGAGACGCGACATCTTTCATCTCAGTTGGGATAACAAGATCATTTAGAAATGTTTTCACAGGCATTTAAAAATAATTTTTATCTTGGGAGAGGTTCATTTCGATTCTATCAGACTAGGTAAAAAGGCCTCAAAATAGTAGCGTTTAGAAGCAAAGTATATGCATCCAAAATCATCACTGCACCTTGCAAAGGTAGAAGACGATGCTGCATACAAAACATGCTTCAAGTCAGATCGATCCATGTCGGGCATATTAATAGCATATTGTGAGATAGAAACTCGTGTTGGACGAGTGAACAAATCAGTCCAAGTACCTGACGTACCTAGCTTGGTCACGATATATGTACCTTCCGACGGTACAAAGCTATCTGCCCCGTGGCCTAAAGCGGCAGGTGATTCTGTCACAGCGCCCAGCAAAGCTCCAACTTCAATTTTCCACCATGATTTTCCGAGTCCCTTTTCACTGACCAGGGTCAAAGACTCATCCAATACCACCAGAAACACCCAAACATATCGTCGAGGATCGTCGGGCGCTCAATTACCACGTCTTTCTCCCCTTCTATCCGGCAAAATGATGCGCTCCCAGCTCCAAGCCGTCGGCCGCCTGGCCAAGCCCTCCGCGGCTCCTAGACTCGCATCCGCAGCTCGCACCCAGGTCACCAGCGCAGCATCAAAACCGACTACCACAACGAGATCCCTTACGACCACGACGCGCACCACCTCGAGACCGATCGTCTGCGCCTACCCCGCCCTCTCCTCCTCCCAATACCGCTCCTTCAGCACCACCCGTATCCAGCATGGCGAGGTGATCATCACCGTCCCGCAAATGGCCGAGTCCATCACCGAGGGCACCATCGCCTCCATCGGCAAGCAGGTTGGCGACCGCGTCGAGGCCGACGAGGAGGTCGCCAGCATCGAGACGGACAAGATCGATGTCGCCGTGAACGCCCCCGGAGAGGGCACTATCGTCGAGCTCTTCGTTGCTGAGGGCGATACCGTCGAGGTCGGACAGAAGCTCGCGCGCATGGAGACGGGCGGCGCCCCTGCAGAGAAGAAGGAGTCCCAGCCGGAGAAGAAGGAAGAGACCAAGAAGACCGAGCCCGAGAGCAAACCCGAGCCCGCCGCCGCACCGGAGAAGAAGGAGCCCGAGGCGCCCAAGAAGGAGGAGAGCAAGCCCGCGCCAGCGGCACCATCCAAACCCGCCGCTCCCCAGCAGCAGCAACAACAACAACAACAACAGAAGCCCGCCTCCGAGGTCCCCTTTGGCGCAACGGGCTCCTTCTCCCGCGGCGAGCGCATCGAGAAGCTCCCGCGCATGCGCAAGACCATCGCTACGAAGCTCAAGCAGTCACAAAACATGACGGCGTCGCTGACGGCCATCGAGGAGGTCGACATGACTAACCTGATGGCCTGGCGCGCCAAGAACAAGGAGGCTGTCATGAAGCGTTACGGCGTCAAGCTGGGCTACATGGGCGCCTTCACCAAGGCGACGTGCCTTGCCGCGGAGCGTGTGCCTCAGATGAATGCTGCCATGGATACAGAGAAGGAGATTATCAAGTACAGGGATTACGTTGATATCAGCATTGCCGTGTCGGCGCCCAAGGGTCTTGTTACGCCTGTGCTGCGTAACGTGGAGAGCTTGGATATTGTTGGTATTGAGCGCGGTGTCGCTGAGTTGGCCGACAAGGTGAGTAATGCTACATTATTCTTCTCGTGCCTTGCTATAGGAGTACAGCGTTTCTGACATTGAACACCACAGGCCCGCAAGAGCAAGCTCGCCATGCCCGATCTCGAGGGCGGCAACTTCTCCATCAGCAACCCCGGCATCTTTGGCTCTCTTTTTGGAACCCCCGTCATCAACTACCCCCAGGCCGCCATCTTCAACATGAACGGCATCAAGGAGCGCGTCGTCGTCGTCGATGGCAAGCTCGAGATCCGTCCCATGATGTACATCACCGTCACCTACGACCACCGCCTCATCGAGCAGCGCGAGGCCGAGGCCTTCCTTGGTGCCGTCAAGGGTTACGTCGAGGACCCCGCTACTCTTCTCCTCTAAGCACGGTTTGAGTACATGTAGTGTCTCTGTCAGATTGAGCGGAGACAGAGGTTGGGAGAGGAGATATAGACTCTGCACGGCTACGGTTCTTGTAGCATCGTGCCGATTGTATTTTACTTTGTAAATGGGTGAAGTGGGATTGGACTGACAGCATTGCCGTGCGGGCATTGGGGGCGTATACACTGCTGCATCTTAGAAATCTTAGATTGGGGCTCGGGCATAGATAATCCGGAGAATCCAGCGTCCAGCATATTGCCCTTTACCAATTGCAACTTCTCGCATTGTACCGCGTTTGGTTCATATAGGCTTGATGGAAGTTGGGCTGTTGATGCTTGGCATCGATCCCCTCAGTAGGGATCGAAATTTCAGCCAGTGTTGACTAAGGTTGCCCCCACATCTTGTACTGGGATATGGTAGATTGGTGCTCCAGCGGCATTTTCTCTTGGGCATGATGCAGTTCTCAGTCACACCAGACGTGTTGCTGTCATTGTTGGCTTTCCGGGTGTAGAAGCCGCAAAAGGCTGGCTTCGATTGCATGGCGGGGCTAATCCCGAATCTCGGCTTCGATATCCGAGGGCAACTTTCAACCACCCTTCCGCTGACAAGAATACACGTACTTTCGTGCGAGAAGAGTAGCGTCGGCATAGTTTTTCGATTGGATTCAAATGTACTCAGTGCGCTGTAAGACGCCGACAGTCTGCCAGAGTAGCCTACTCGGTTGAACTTCAGGTTGACCGACAGTATGGACAACGGCGTGCCTTTAACGTGGGGTTCGTTACTCAGGCGCTCCCCGCGTGTAAGTCGCGTTCAATTTGCGGCAATGTCGACTTGACATCTAATTTTCGGGGTTCGTCAATCATCGAAAAGGCGAGCATTGGGAACGGAGACAATGCCAAACCGTCTTTCTTACCTCGCCTTTCCTGTCAAACATCGAGCTTCTAGATTCCACTAAGCTGGAACATATCACCAAGCGCCAATTGACCCACTAACAATATGCTTCGGTCAACTTGCTCTGTCTGCAAGGGTTATACACAGCGGAGTCTCTCCCACACGAGGGCCAAATCCTTCGCTTTTCCAAACTTCCGCGGCATCTCGCACCACGTCAATGGAGACGAAAGGTCAAGTAATCGTCGAGCGTTCACCTCCACCAGATCATGTAGACTTACGCCCTCAAATGGGAGACCCTACCGTACCACAGCAGAATCTGAGGACCCAGGGGTTCTGCCGGTAAGGCCATAACCGACAGTCGCTCAGTTTTCTCTCCATCGCTAACGATCAGCGACCACTCAGAGTCCCATAGACTCCTTTCTTCAGGGCGGAGCAGCAAACTACGTCGACAACATGTATCTCGCTTGGAAGATGGACCCTCAAAACGTTCATGTATCATGGCATACGTATTTCCGTAACATGGAAGATCCCTCTGTACATTCGACGCAAGCCTTTCAGCCACCACCCGGCCTGCTCTCACCCCGGCACACACCAGACATCAAATCGTTTCCCAGTGCCGGCGTGAGTGAAGTCATTGACTATCTCAAGACTCATAATATTGTTCGAGCGTTCCAGCATTATGGCCATTCAGCCGCAAATATCAACCCTCTCGGACAAGTCAGCAACATGACGATCAAGCCGCACGATAGTGTCCCAAGCACAACAAACTTGAGCACGTACGGCTTCACCGCCGCAGACCTGAATCGTGAAATTGTTCTAGGTCCAGAAATACTTCCCCATCTCTCACAAAGCCACCAGGCGATGAAACTTCGCGACATCATCGCCACTTGCGAGGAGGTCTACTGCGGTTCCATCGGCGTCGAATACCACCACATCTCTGACCCTACCAAACGCCAATGGATCCGCGAGCGCATCGAGTCTTACCATACCTTCCTCCCCTCAACCGAAGAAAAGAGGCAGATCCTCGACAACTTGATCTGGGCAACAATCCTCGAACGCTTCCTCGCCGCAAAATTCCCCAACGAAAAGCGTTTCGGCCTCGATGGCGCAGAAGGCCTGGCGCCTGGGCTAGCCGCACTCATTGATCGTTGCGCAGAGGCTCACGGCGCCCAAGACGTCATTATCGGAAGTTGTCACCGCGGGAGGATGAACCTCATGAGCACAGTCTACGGCAAGGACTACGAGACGCTGTTCCGCCTGTTTGCGGGCACGGAGGAGTTTGATTCGGCGAATGGGCAGACTGGGGATGTCAAGTATCACTTTGGCATGGAGGTTAAGAGGGCAACTGCTGGTGGGAGGACGATTGGTATCTCCATGTTGCCGAATCCTTCACACTTGGAGGCTGTTGATTCTGTTGCGCAGGGCAAAGCCAAGGCAGTGCAATATTTGAAGAACGATGTTGATCAGTCCAAGGTGGTTTGCTTGGCTCTGCATGGAGACGCCGCCTTTTCTGGCCAGGGGCCTGTGTATGAGACGCTCAACCTCTCGGCTCTAAAGGGATACGAAGTCGGTGGTACCATTCGGTTCATTGTGAATAATCAGATTGGCTTCACGACTGATTCTCTAGACTCCAGGTCCACGCCGTACTGCACTGACTTGGCGAAGTATATCGAGGCGCCGATATTCCACATCAATGGCGATGATCCGGAAGCCGTTGTGTTCGTCAGTAAACTGGCTGCAGATTGGAGGGCCGAGTTCCGTTCGGACATCGTCATCGATGTCAACTGCTACCGGCGATTCGGACATAACGAAATTGATCAGGCCAGTTTCACTCAGCCTGAGATGTACAAGAAGATCACCGAGCAGAAGCCGCTGATGGATCTTTATATCGACAAGCTTATCAATGAGGGCGAGATGTCTGCCGAGGTGGCGGAGCAGCAGAAGACTTGGGTCTGGGAGCAACTAGAAGGGAAACTTGCGAGAAGTAAGCAGCCAGCCGATCGATACCCAGACGCTACTTCGGACCTGTCTCCATCCGCTGGTTGTCAAACGTCAACGAACGCCATTGACGAGGCCATGCTCTCGACCATCGCCACCGTAATCACGAGCGTCCCAGAAGACTTCAACTGCCACCGCAACCTCCAGCGCATACTGGCCGCGAAGAAACAAGCCTTTGACGACGGCACAGTCGACTGGTCCACAGCCGAAGCCCTCGCCTTCGGAACCCTCATCGCAGACGGCAAGTCCGTCCGCATCAGCGGCCAGGACGTCGAGCGAGGCACATTTTCCCAGCGTCACTCTGTCCTACACGACCAGCTCACCCATGCCAAGTACACGCCGCTGAATAACTTAGGTACTTCCGGCGCAGGGACATACAGCGGGACATACAGTGCAATCAACTCGCCGCTGAGCGAGTTTGGCGTCCTGGGGTTCGATTATGGGTACTCCCTGGCTGCGCGGGACTCGTTGGTCGTGTGGGAGGCGCAGTTTGGCGATTTTGCGAACAACGCGCAGGTTGTTATTGATCAGTTTATTGCTTCGGGTGAGGCCAAGTGGATGCTTAGGTCTGGGCTTGTCATGTCTTTACCACATGGGTACGATGGTCAGGGACCGGAGCATTCGTCTGCTAGGTTGGGTAGGTTTTTGGAGTTGTGTAGCGAGGATGGGCGGAGTTGGCCTGAGGATATGGAGAGGGCGAGGAGGGGGGGCAATGTGAGGATTGTGTGTATGACGACCCCGGCGAACTTGTTCCATGCGTTGAGGAGGCAGGTTTACTCATCCGAGAAGAAACGTGAGTTACATGAGTTTTTGGCTGTTCACTGTGAGATACATGCTAACCACCTTCAGCTCTTGTCATATTCTTTTCAAAATCCCTTCTCCGTCACCCTATTGCTAGATCTCCCATCATAGACCTGACAGGAACGTCGTCCTTTCAACCCGTAATTGAGGACCCGGAGCACGGAAACAGGCTACTCCCCCGCGGAGAGATCAAGCGCGTGATCCTGTGCAGCGGTCAAGTTTACGCGGCACTGCACAAGTATCGCAACGCAAGGGGCATCAAGGACGTTGCTATCACGCGCATTGAAGAACTCCACCCCTTTCCCTGGGCCGAGACAAAGGAGAACCTTGAGTCCTATTCTGATGTAGAGAACATCGTGTGGTGTCAAGAAGAGCCGTATAATGGGGGCGCTTGGCAGTACATGCGCGATAGGCTTGAGACTGTTGTTGGAAGCTCGAACGTCCTTGAGGGCAAGAAGATTATTTATGCTGGGCGGGGAACGGGGGCTGCCGCTGCTACCGGCTCGAAGAAGGTCCATCAAGATGAGGAGACGAGGTTGGTTGAAAATGCTTTCGGTATTCGGATCTAGAGAAGGACTAGTAGATAATATCAGGGTTGCATCAGGACATTGCCTGCTCAAGCTATTTCTGTAACCCACAAAAAAGACCGACAATTCTCCCCACCGGACCAAATCAACTGTACAGATCATCATCCTCGTCCGAGTCCTTTTGCTTCGAAGCATGGGGACTCGTCACCCGAATGCCATTCTCCAGCCTAGCCAGGCTCATCTCATAGTTCTTGTGATCGCACCACTTGGATACCATCTTGACAGCCGTCTTGATCTCACGACCATTGAGCTGCCAATGCCCAAGCTCCTTGATATCCTCATCCGAGAGCAACGTCCTCGCGTCCTCCGCCCCATCTGTTGACTTGTCTTGCTGAGGTAACCTTCCGAGGAACTTCCGCCAGATAAGCTCCCTCGCATCTGGGCTCAACGCCTTGAATAGCAAGTGCAAGCTCACCCTACTCCGAAACGCCGTATCAATGGTATTATAGAGGTTCGTCGTCAAGAAGATGATACCCCGAAAATACTCTAGCTCGCGCAGGAAAATTGATACGAGTTCATTGCGCGCGATGTCGTTGGGATTCCGCTCCGCCATGAACACATCCGCCTCGTCGAGGAGAATCACGGCATTCCACTCAGTCGCCATCTCGAATACCCGCTTGATCTTCTCGCCCAGCGTCGAGGGGTTGATTCCGAGGTCCTCGGCCTGTAGATAGAACAACGGGCGCTGGGTCCTGTCGGCGACCGCCTCGGCCGTGAGTGTCTTGCCGGTTCCTGGTGGACCGCTCAGGAGGATGATGAGACCTTGGCCCTTGCCGATGATGACGTCTTCCATCGTATTTTTGTTCGCGTGGCCATGGTTCTCGACGAAGGAGAGGACGAGGTCCTTTTGTTGCTCGTCGTAGACCAAGTGGTCGTATGCTTGGGCGTTCCAGATGATGGGCTCGATATCCTCAACGTAGAAGCCAACTGGGGGATGTCAATTAAGTGAGTAGTAAAAGAATCGAGGTGAGCAACTTACGCCAAAGCTTGTTCTTCAAGGCGAACCCCTCAATCAGTGGAGACATGAAGACGAGGTCATCAGGACGCGCGAGCATCTCTTCCTTGTTCCTCAACTGCCCCTTATCGCCAAGATGTCTCTCGTTTTTGGCGACTGGCTTCTTCGTTTCCAGTTCAGATTCCGGCTCGCCGTTATCATCGTGGATAATGCGCTTTCTAGTCACACGATTCCGTCGCGTCTCGGCGTCGTCATTTTCCCTCTTGCCCTGGGTCCGTTCATACTTGTTGAATCCGACAACGTCAATGAGGATTCTTCCCTCCACATTATGCTTGCTCTTCGGACCCATCGCGATGCCGTTGTATGTGCAATACGTCAGGCCCTGAAGATTCAAGACCTTTTTGCCCCTGACCAGGGTTCTCTGTAATAGTTCTTCTTTGTTCAGGTGGAACTGCAGAGGGTAGTGAGTGAGCTCAAGTATGGGCCGATTCCCCGCGAATTTGGGAATCTGAAGCTCCTGCTCGGACCACACAAAGCTCTCCCCATTAAAGGTCATAATCTTGCACTTGATGTTGAGGAAGACACCCTGGTCCGTCCTCTCATACGCCGTGTCTTCCACTTTGCACAACAGCTCCGTGTTCCGAGCACTGCTGTAAACGACCGAGTCTCGCGGGAAGTAGGTCCAAGCCATCTTGAAGTTGATCAGACCGCTGGCCTGCAGCTTTCGCTTCTTCTCGCGTGTCTCGCCGAGCATGTCATCCAGGGTTCGTACTAGGAGCTGCAAGTAGCCCTTGAGCGAGCTATCATCTGTAATCTTGTACAGCTCCAGGATCTCATCGTAGCAGAAGAAGAGTGGTCGAAACGGGGCCTCAAAGATAGCCGTATCGCTGGGGTCGAGGTGGACGTCTTCCTTCTTGAAGATGGGCTCCAGAGCAGCGACAAGAGTCGGGTTCTGGATGGAAATTTGGTGGTAGGTCAAGGAGTATCGACCTGCCATGACAGGCTTCTCGACGTCTTTGATCTTGTAGACCTTTATAGCCGGCCGGTCTTGGCTCTCGGCGGCCTTCTTGCTCATCTGCTTGGGTGGAAAGTCGACCCAATCATAGATGCCATTGCAACTGTTCTTGCCCTCGTAGTACGTCTTGACTGTGGCATCGATGCCGAAAGTCGGGTTCTTGGGTGAGTGCTGCTTCTTTGGGTCATTGTCGGAGAGACTGCCCTCGATGTCCGAAATGGGGCGGCCAACTTCTTCTTTGTGGGGAAGAAGCTTGCAACGTAATTGCCACGCCTTCTCCGAGAGGTTCTCCTTGTCGAATACGTCGCGAATGTCGCTCAGATGCATCTTGGCGACTCGCTTGCGCTGTGATGGGAAGTTGTCGGATATCAAAGGTCGAGAATCTGAACTGAGTTGAGTGTGAAGATGGTGAGATGAGAGATGGGATTAGTCAAGTAAATCAATGCCTTTTCAATTGGCAGCCTTGTTGCTTTGATGCTGAAGCCTGAAGCCTGATAGCTGATGCCACATAAGCTGCATCAGGCTCGACGATGGTGCAGATAGGACTCGAGGCATACTGGTTCGCGGCCCATGAGATTGGCCTCGGTGGTGTCCTAGTGGCTGACCCAAGCTATCTGCAAAGCCAAGGTACTGTGCGTTGTTCCTGACCTTGGGGATCTAGGACTACTCAGCCCCAGATGCCGGTGAGTCAAAAACGGCCAGAGAGCGCCGTTGCAGCGCCATGGTGGCGTATTCATCCAGGACTGATGGATAGATTACATAGCTCGAGATCTTGCGTGGAAATGGAAGGTCGATTGTTGATATTGAGGACTATTCTGGACCGGTAATGCAACAACTCAATCGTAAACTAGTAGACTTTCCCAAGTTCATCTTGATTTCCCGGGTTGATGGCATCCAGAGACGTTTGAAAAATGGTTCAGCATGGGCCGTCAACCATGTTGAGAAGGAACTTTGATCGAGCCTAAAAGCACGTCACTGCCGACAGCTGGGCACGGGCCAAATGCACAGATGCAATGGTGGGTCAGTCTGTCTCGCTTACCTTTCTCAGCCACTCAAAACCCGTCCTGAGGCCAAAGCCCCTGCTAAGCACCTAAGGTAGCGCCCAGGGCTCGGATCCACCCCCACGGGTGCCTCCCATCAGGCACACCTCAACTGGTTAATTGCAATGGAAACAACGCTCGTCCCTCTGTCTGCCTTGACGTTTGCCAAACCGTGATGGGCTCAAGATAGATTGCATAAGTATCGACAGCTAGTTGGTATTCTTGCCCTCTTTCTCACTAATGATACATTGAAATTGAGGCTGATTGGTAGATTGTGGAAAGTGAGAGACTCTGTAGGGGAATACCCTCAATCATGTCTGAGTCCGATTATACCACATCTACTACCTAGGTACCTTAGCTGCCTACCTCGGTACGTACCGTCCTAGTATCTACACATTCACTCGGGGTCTTTGGGAACGCTGACAGGCAAACAGTAAAGTGGCGTTATTGTATTGCATTAAAAAGGAAGTGGTCAGTGAATACCAATACGCCAGTCTTCTCATAGTGACATTGCATCATGAGTCACTCACTCAACTTTCCCCTTGGCCCTGTTGCGATCCAACTGTCTGATTGTTGCCTTCTCGAGTGTGCTTGTTTTCATCTTTGTTTGAGTTATTACTTGCCCACCACTTTGGAAAGCACCGAGTCCCCGGAACACATGACAACTCAATCAACTCCCAATCATGCAATGTTTTTTGCTTGAAGTTGACAGGTCCTAGTCTCGTAGCTTTGCTGCATCTTGGCAGACATCTTAGTTCAAGTAGACGGATAGGAGGCCACATCCAGGATATATGCATGTCATTTTGAAATGTCAACAACAAAGAACTTTGGTAACCCATTGAGATTAGACTGTCGACGAAAACCTTTTATGAAATAAATAAGTGTCATTTGGAGAAACACGAACCAGTCTACCCTTGGCATACCCGACGCCATCATTCTCACTTCAACTTCGGATCCGTGCTCGGATTTGAACAAAGGGGCGAATTCACCAACTCAGGTAACACTGATGGATCAAGCAAGGAGATTTCGATACGCACACAACTCGGCACTGACTGAAGCCTAGCCAACATAAAGTGGCATGTCCCCATGTCCCTACAGATCCCTTGCATGGTTCTACATGCCCAGATATGATCCATTTCAGTCTCGGCCTTACAGGGTCTCCAGTAGTAGCAGCTGGACTGCAGCTCGCAACGTCTTTCATGCAGGGAGAGTATGCGGGCTTAAGATATATGGCCAACTTCGTATAGTTCCAAATACCATCAATCCAATCGAGCCCCAGTAGCTGTAGCGAGAAATATTTGATGTTTTGTTTTCGAAACAATATGATAAGGAGTCAAAGAAATGTGAATAGTGATAGATAGGCACCTTGCTGTCGAGATTTGTCCAAGGTCTCAGTGCCACGTAAGACGTTATCAGAAATACCGATAGAAACACAGAGATGCACTGGCTCGGGGTGCTTGCTAGCAGATATCCGTGATCCTCGCCATCCTGCGAGTCGCCGTCGCTTGCTGGCGTAGCACGATGCAGGTAAACGCAGTTTCTTCAAGCTGACAAGAGTGGCTGTCCAGGTACATGAAAGTCTGAGAGTGAATCAGTGTTGTGCCCGGATGCACGATATAATTGGATGGATTAGGTATCAGCAAAAGTCACACCGGTCACCGGTGAGAATACTTGAGTAGATCCGGCAGTCTACCTTGCATGTAGCCATGTGTCTTGCGGCCATTAAGACAAGGTAGACGTGGAATCGAATATCCATCCACAAAGTAGGATAGCGGGATTGATATGAGAGCCACAAGGATTCCGCAGCGCTCGATGCCGTGTTGAGGTCACGGTATCCAACACGGATACTTCACGGTAAACTCTGTTCTAGGTCCATAGAACTTATGCTGCTAGCATGGGCGGGCCAACTATTATCGAGTATCGTGACGAATGACAAATTTCTGCGTCCCGACCAAGAACATCCTCATCTCGAATTGTTTGCGTATCCTTCACCTCAACGTAACGGTCAAACGCAGGCCACACAGGCCCTAGAAGCGTCATACTCTCGATGCTTCCCGCGTGAGCCTGGAGTCATACTCGACACCATGTCACAACGAACCTTAAAGCGTACATGCCCGTTTTTCCTCGAGTGCTACCCAGTGTTTCTTGTATCATCCTCGAACAACCTCCATGCCATCTGGTATCTGCAGAGGTCGACATCATCAAGGAGGGCGCACCACTAGCCGTCCTTGCTCTTCTTGAACGAATCAAAAATGCATGTCGCGAGTAAGAGATGTACGACTCGACTCAACACCCAACCCTCTTCTTCAAACCCGTCGGTCCGAGGGTCTCGGTGGGTTACAACACAAGCAGTTTAAGGGAACACTGAGAGTCTGACCAGACGATCCTGGCGCGTTGGAGCGCGTCAAAACAAAGAGGGAGCAGAAGCTGTTGTAATCCACCAAGGAGAAGCATCTACCGAATCCCCCAGTGACTCCGTGCCAAGTTGCCCTCCAAAAAGATGGAGAGAAGAGATGTGTAAGTGGACGTCTTCCCCGTAGCCCCCCTTTCGTCCCTTGCTCTCCAACCGTATCTCCACATCGGGACCTCCTAGTGCACAATACACAGCCTTAATCATGTGGAAACGAAGAATGTCGTGCACATTTGTGGAGACGCAAGAGGTCAGTCATGCTGACCGGGCACAACAAACAGGGAAGACTGATGCTGCCTTGTTTCCGAGTCGGCTCACCGAGATTATCGAAGTCAAAAAGAAGGAGTGGGAGAAACTTGGCTTCAATGCCAGCCTATATGGAAGGTCACATCGCAGGCTCAGCAACTCTCACCGGAATAACACGCTACTCTCAAGAATTCGGGTCCTCCGCCCGAGATGGCGCTAAAAGCCAAGCTTGCGGTCAAAATTCCTTAGTGTCGCGTGCCTTGGAGACCAGTTGGAGACGGACGGCACTTGCGCAGGGGAGGTCGGAGTTGGATTGGGACAGATGGGGGTGCCCTGCCGGCCAGAGTAGGAAATGATACGATTCCCGTTGTGGTGTGTAGGACCCTGAAGGCGGGGGTTGCGGGGGTCAACCCGTTCCCAGATATTCCAACTTTCGGGCTGACGAGATTTCAATATAGAAACTCGCCCAGGGTAGCCCGGACTCAGGAACCGAAGTCATTTTGCGAGTGGGCATCCGAGTCGGCGCAACAGAAAAATCTTGTAATTCTGTTGTTGTCGATTCATGGGCTGGGTAACCCCAGTGCTCAACATGAACTCACGACTGGAGGAGGGTGGGAGACATATCAAAAAGTTCAGAACGGTTAGGGTTTGCCGGGAAACGGGCAATGACGACAACCACGTTTTGCAATCCGGCAGAGCAGAGGTCTAAAAGGGTCTCACATCGGCTCATGCTGCCAAACCTCGCACACCAGCCTTGCCCTCTTCGTCGCAAGAGTTGTTGCAATAACACCAGGGCTCCCGAGTCAGGATAGCCGCCCGGGGTTTCATCGCCAGGCCTCTTTTGTTTGCAGTGTGCTACGGGAGCACCAGAGAGCGTAGCAAGGGACGAGCAGGACCAAAGGTCCACAACACCCACATCGCCGCCCTGGCGTAACGGGAACCAAAGGGGCCACCATCCTGGCCGAGCATGGGTCCGAACGCCGTTTTTCTGCCCTGCTTTTCAACATCTTGCTTGTTCCGACCTCCGTTCCACCGTGTTCCTTGTTTGCATCTCACAAAGAACCCGGATTTTCTTGAAAGCGATAATATTACGATTTTCCAAGGTTCCCAGCGTCGCACCCGCGCTGGAGCACCGCCGTTTGTGAGAGGGCGAGCTACGCTTTCCTCCCTTTCCATTACATGTATTTCCGCTGTAATTTTTGTCATTTGTGTACATGCCTTGACACTCAACGGGTTCATGCCTCGCTGTCCCGGTTGTCGGTCGGGCAGCAAACGGTCATTGGGACCAACAGGTATAACGCATTGTTTAAGATACCTTTCGTCTCAAAACTTGCGCCGTCCATCCCCATCTCTCGCCTAAAGTTAGAAAAAAGAGGGGACCGATTTCCGAACAAAGACTAGTCATGTCATCGGAGCATCAACGTTGTGATCTGCGGTCCCCTTTATGCCTCTGCCGAACCGACGACATCCCGGTCTGTTCATCGAGTGTGTGATACCCTAGATCTCGCGCGCTATTAAACAACGATAAACTGAACGCGATCCCGTCGCTCTCTCGTTCTCACGGGTCTGTCGTGAGCAGAATTTTGGACGAAATCCCAGATGATCTAATAGCTATTCGCAATGTGTTCAACAGCTCCCGCCAACAGCCTCTTCGGGGGCGCGTCCTTTTCCATACCTTATCATACTCTCGATGGAGCTGTCATCGCTAGCAAGATGGCTTCCTCTACCATGGTGGTCACGGAATCAGTGACAGAGATCACAGAAGTGACAGAACCAACAGAGGAACTGGCTCAGTTGATATCATCACCGACCATTTATCTCGATGACAATGGCGACCTGAGACTCTCCGTCGGCGGCGACGTCGAGGACCACCCACAAGATTTCGTCGTCTGCTCAAGAGCACTCGGTCGAAGCTCGCCCGTTTTGAAGGCCATGCTATTTGGTCGCTTCCTGGAGTCTCGCCCGCTGGAGGGTGCCGGAGAGTGGTCCGTCGACCTGCCCGAAGACTCGCCAGAAGCAATGGAAATCGTATTAAACATCGTTCACGGTCACTTCAACCTCGTACCCGAGAAGCTACCATTGATGCGTCTCTACAACGTTCTCACCATCACGGAAAAGTACGACATGACCGTTATCGTTCGCCCATGGGCTCGCTCATGGATGCAGGGCGTTAAGCACCAGACTGACAATGCGCATTTGCTCTGCGTCGCTTGGGAACTGGGAGACACCGAGGTCTTTGAGACGATGTACAAGAAGATCACATATGAGTCAATGATTGATCTTCAGGGAAGGGTCGTATTTGGACACTTGGCGCGCATTTGGAAGCCTGGGCCAGAGGGATACAATTTTCCCCTTGAGAAGATTGTTTACCTACGGCCCCCGGAAGTCTTTGGTAAGTTTCTCTCGTCAGTCAACTCATTTTACGTGGTCCAATGGCTGACATGGCAATCAACAGAAACCATCGCGAAGCACCGCCAGGCACTTGTCTCGGCCTACTTGGACCACTTCGTCCTCCTTTACCGATGTCTCAAAGACGGATGCAGATACATGAAAGGATACTACCACAGCTCACCAGACGCCGAGGAGTGCAACAGCATGCTCCTCGGGTCACTAGTGAGGTGTCTCGCCAAGGGAAAGGTCGACATTACGTTGCCGAATCCCTGCGAATCTTACAGAGGAAATGTGGAATCCTTGGAGAAGGCCATCGGCGCCGTCAAGCTCTTGACGGTGCACAAGCCATCTCCCGCAAACCAGTGTTTGAAGCGGATAGAAGAGGAGTTGGCCAAGGGCGCATTGGCCGCTGGCGTCACAAAATCGGAGTTGGTCATCGTTCAACCAGAGCATCGGGGATACCTGGAAAAGCAAGCTAGCAAGACTGGAGTTGTCATGGCTGGATAGAAAGGTCGGCGGCATCATCGGTGTGAGAATTGAATTATGGGATAGGAAATCTTGTTTCTGGGGTGCTTGGGGGGGAGGATGCATGGTTTGGGAATGGTTACGTCTGGAGTTTTGGGCAGAGTTACGGGAGACTGTATGAAATCATTCAGGGAGATTAGATTTTTTTTACCCCATCTCTTTAATTGCTCGTAAAGAGTCTAATTACAACTTTCAACCAAATCAAATCAGGAAAACACGCGTGGCAACAGCACGGGGTAAGCTGACTCTAGCTTCGTCTGTGCATGGGGAGATCAGCGCGAGGTGGAACTGTGTGTTCACGGACGTCATCATGCGGTATCAAACGGCGCAAAGATGGGATAAACACTTGAATCAGAACCTCGAACTTTTTGTTTTGTGCCAATATGCCAACCTATAGAAGATGTCATCAGAGTAAACGCCCAGCCAAAACCCCATATTTGCCCACTATCAGAAGCCAGCACGCATGACTCTTCAGTTGAAGCCAAGGTTGCCAATCGTGACAGACTTGATGTTCTGGTACTCTGCCAGTCCATACTTGCTGCCCTCCCGACCAAGTCCACTCTCCTTCACACCACCAAACGGCGCCTCCGCAGCGCTGATGAGACCGGTGTTGACGCCCAGCATGCCGCACTCCAACCGCCTCGCTACACGCATGACTCGAGAGATATCCTTGCTGAAGAAGTAGCCCGCGAGGCCGTACTCTGTGGCATTCGCCAGCTCGACGGCCTCTGCTTCTGTCTTGAAAGAGAAGATGGCCGCGAGAGGGCCAAAGGTCTCGTCGTTTGCGACCTCCATGTCGGTCGTGACTTCGCTGATCACCGTAGGCTCGTAGAAGTATCCCTTGAGCCCCTCCGGCGTCTTACCGCCCGTGTGGAGCACTGCACCCTTCTTCAGCGCATCTTGTACATGAGCGTCCACCTTCTGTACGGCTGCGGCGTTGACGAGGGGGCCTTGTGTGATGCCCTCGTCGATTCCACGGCCAAGTTTGTACTGCTTTACGCGGGCGACGAGTTTCTCGATGAACTGGTCCTTGACTGCCTCGTGGACGAGCAGTCTATTTGCGCACTTGGAAGATTTGTTAGTCGGGTTACTCAGCCATTGTTCTGATTGTAAGGACTTACCACGCAGGTCTGACCGGAACATCTGAACTTGCAAATCAAGGCACCCTCAACCGCCTGGTCAAGATCCGCATCGTCAAACACGATGAACGGGGCATTACCCCCCAACTCCATGCTCACGCGCTTCATCGTGCCCGCCGCAGCCTTGGTGAGCATCTTGCCGACCCCTGTTGACCCAGTGAAACTAAGCTTCTTCACGATAGGGTTGTTGGCGAGTTCCATCGACGCCTCTCTGTCCTTGGTCGGTACCACGTGGATGATATCAGACGGGATGCCAGCAGCGAGTGCCAACTTGGCCAGGGCAAGAGCGCTGAAGGGGGTTTCGCTTGGAGGCTTGATAATGACTGAGCATCCCGCTGCAAAGGCTGGGGCGATCTTGCGTGTGATCATGGCTGCTGGGAAGTTCCACGGGGTAATGATGCCGCAGACGCCCACGGGCTCCTTGAATGTGAATACAGTGGTGTTGGCGTATGATGAAGGAATGGTATCGCCGTATGACCGTGTCGCTTCCTCGGCGAACCAAGAGATGAAAGAAGCGGCGTAGACCACCTCACCTCTGGCCTCGGCAAAGGTCTTGCCATTCTCCAAAGACAGAATCAAGGCCACTTCCAATACGTCAATATCAGTGTTTCCGGCGGATCGCCACATGGTGCCAGATACTCACAGTCGTCAGCGTTGGCAATGACCAAATCGAACCATTTTCTTAACAGAGCGCCTCGCTCTTTTGCTGTTGTTGACTCGTGAAACTTGGCTGATCCCTTCTTTGCGCTCTCAATGGCGTCGACGAAGTCTTGCCGGCTCAAGTTGGCGCACTCTTGCAGAACTGTTGCGCTTGATGGCTCGTACACGGGGAAAGTCTTGCCATCCTGACCATTCTTCCACTCCCCGGCGACGAGACCGGAAGAGACCAGCAGGCTCTTGTCCTGGAGCTTGGCAAAGACGTCTGCCATTTTGTGCTTCTATGTGACGTGATCTGTGCTGGTTTCTCGCCTTTGGTTATCAATCGAGAAAGATGAGAACAGTGGAACAGCTACGTTGCGAACTTCGTGAATGGGAGCTTGCTCTTTTATGTCCCGTTGTCAAACTGTTTTACCAAAATTCGCGACATTTCTTACCTTAATAAATCACCCCATTCTCGTAGCGGTCTCAGCCGAGCCTCGGAGCATTGCGGGGGATGCAAATCGACGGCGATCCGGCTGCCGGTCGTGCATCAAACCCACCGAGGCTCATGCAGGAGATATTGGCGCTAGCGAATGCCTCGGAACTACGGAGGACCGTTTATATACAACCCCGCAGACGAAGCAGCTCCCCCTCAGTCGGCACTATATGAGTGCTGCTGAAGTTGATCAATCAAGGACCGTCCTCGGCTCCATTCTCTTAGTCACGGTTACTACGAGTGGCTTTACTCTAAGGCACTGTGTGCGGGGAGGCGCGGGAATTCCCTCGCTTCCCGGCCGGGCCGGCCCCATTTGATGTGGGTCAACCGGCCCGGCGGGCTCCGACCACCTGAATCTACCGGCCCGGCCCCGATGACATGACAAGACTGGTTCCGAATGATCACATCCGGGTAACCACGCTCAATATTGAGCGTTCACTGTTGTGTTATGCGGCGGTCTAGACCTTTTTTCATGGGCAACAGTCAATGTTGTGATTTTTCTCGTGACAGATCACTCTTTCCAACGCAGGGCATCGGCCACCGGTTCTCTTCATTGGCGAAGTGGCAGTCTGCTCAACGCACATGATCTAAATCACACTTGGGAGACCAGAGGGGTATATTTGAGCATGTAACAATCAGATCCCATAGATTACATGTAACTCAGCTCGAGATCCGTCTACGTGCATGTGACACGCGTTCCTGTGTCAAAGCCAGATTTTGTTGGAGCTTTTCGTCGTACTCTGGCTGTGAGACTGAGAGGTCTGGAAAAAGATTCAGTTGAGTTTGAACGATCCTCTGACCAGGCCATGGGAGGTGAAGATTCCTCTGGGATCAACCGCCTTCTGGATTTCCCGGAGTCTGTTTTTGTTCTTCTCTCCATATCCCGAGAAAGGGTCTTGATTGTAGTTTGCATAGTTGATGTACAGCCATGGGTGCAACAAGCCCATCGACTCAGCTTCAGCCTTGGATCGGTTAATGACTCGGTCGGCATAGGCATACATCGCCGCATCATCGCCCGAGTTAGACCATCCGAGAGTGAGGAGCGCAACTGTTTGGTGGTATAGACAATTAGCGAATTGTTCACATCTATGTAAGAGATGTATGAAGGGTAAGATAGTGGGAGGCATACTCATCAATGGGCCATCAGACTCAACGCCGAGAGCATTCCCTCCCCTCACTTTCATGGCATCGATGGCGTTCTTGTGCAGGGCCTGAACGACCAGCGACGAGGAGATCCCCGGAGTATTCTTGACACCTGTAAATTCTTCCGTGTAGATGTTGATCAATTGCTTGTGCAGAACACAAGAAGGCCGGAAGGTAATGGAAGCATAAATACGACTATGATCCAGTTATAACATGCCTCAATCTGCCAACGAAACTGTTCGTGGCTTGATACTAGGCTTACCGTAATCCATGGGGAGAGACGCTATCGAGACTATGATTGCTCATCCAGTCGACACGAAGAATGCTCGTTTCATAAGGAATTTTGTTCAATTCGGCGAAGACAGGAGGCTCAACAACAGGTTCATAGTATGCTTGTGAGACACTCATGCTGAATCGATCACTGGCAGAGTCGTAGGAGTTGCGACTCCAAAAAGACATGTACGTGTCAACGGCCAGATTAGTCGCCAGTTGATAAGACTGATCGACGAGCTGATCAGTGTAGTTAACGTTGTAGGTTCTCGAGCCACCCCACTTCTGACCTTGCGGTACGAGTCGCGAGCAGAAGTTGGTAATGACACCGAAGTTGTTGCCGCCTCCGCGCAGAGCAAAGTATAGGTCAGGATGAGCAGTTTCAGAGACATTGACAATGGTGGCATTCGGCAGCACGAGCTGGTGCAAAGTGAGTGAGCTTGGGACTTGTGATGTGGCAACAAAACATGGAGTCTGACATGGAATTGAGACGCTTACCTGGTATTCCCAGACATTATCCACGGCCAAGCCGTATTGCGGTCCAAGATCAGAGAGTCCACCACCGATAGTGAATCCCGGAAGTCCAACGTCGGCAGTTCTTCCGCCCACCATCGTAAGGTTGTATTTCTCCAGTGCCAAATAAGCGTCGCGAAGAACATGACCAGGTCCAAGATTTGCTTTCGTGCGGTCCTCTGAAATCTCAATGTGGTCCATGAGGTGCAAGTCGATCGTAATGCCACCGACAGAGTTGGAGGCGTCCAAGTTTGTCATGTGCCCGCCGCCCTTGATGGCGAAGCGGCACCAGTTATCGACGGTGATCTCAACGACTCTTGATACCTGGGCAGCAGTCGTTGGCTCTATGCGGCAGGCAGGAAGAGCCTCCTGCTGCTTCATGTCCCATATCGCGAAGGAAGGGTCGTTGCTACCCAGATGAACGGCAGAGCCGAACTCCTCCATCAATTGGGAGCACTACTTGTTGATCAGTACGGGGTAAATATGAGGAGGACCACGCTCATAAGAGTATCTCACTGCTTGACTGCAGCCGGCAGTTATGGAAGGCTCAGCCGCGAGACCCAAGCGTGTCTGGGCGAGGAGACCCAGAATGTGTCCAATAGCCATGGTATGATGTCCGGATGCAATGCCTCAATCTGAATAATGAATGAAAAAATGTGAGGAATGCTCGATTCACTTTGAAAGATATCTGCTGTATTTATCGCTGTCCAGATGACAATAAGGGGTTGATCCAATGTCTTCAAAACTGAACGTATCAATGGTACTTGCTGCCCGTATACAAGGAGCCGTCGCGTACCCTTCCGAGCTGCTACTTTAGGAGAAAATGAGCTTGGCTAAGATATGATCGTTCAAACTAAGACCCATAACATACTATATGCAAGTGACAAGATCAACTGTCGTCATGGGGAATCACACTGTACAATTTAGCGGACCCCGCGTGACCCACGGGCTTTTGAGTTGACACTAACAACATCCTTTTGGAGTGCTGCTTTGCGATCCGGCATCAACAACAATATGCTACGTCAGGACATGCACCTTGCCTAATCTCACCGCCAAAACTTGCAGGTATGTGACCGAAGTCATAGCCACGCGGCCTGCCAAGAAGCTGGGGACCTCATCCTTGAAGTAACTGACTGCACGGATATGGCGATGCAAAAGACGACACCCCACATAGACCACCATGTCCAGATAAGGTCTACCTTGAAGTCCGCGACAAGAACAAGGGATTAATGCGGATCAACACTCTAGCGACATACCCCATTCTGCGGGTCGTCCCGTAGATTTCTTCTGGCAAAAAGACCTGTCCAGCGAAGAGTGTGGGAAATCTCTTCCTTCGCACGGCATTACATCTGCCTCACCTGGAGGAGCTTGCGCGTACATGTATGCAACAGTACACTCAACTGTGATTTCAACCATGATATGAATAGATGCGGCAAACGCTACGATTGGAGAGAAGGCGAATGGGGTCGAAGAAAGACTGCGGTGCTCTGCGAATCTACATGTATTCAAGGCAGTATTTTCCGCCGAAAGATGATGCCATCAGAGTTCGAGAGTGTCAGCAGGCTGCATGATACCCCTCACCCGTACTGGCTCAGGTCCCTGATTCTTCAACTACGTCCCATGATGGCGCTAAGACCCAGGCCGTCCCGATCACTTATGTTCTCGGTCGCCGAAAGCTTCCCTCAATCATCTAACGATATGACGAAATTTAGAAGTTGATAATCCAGACGCTCTTGAGTCCTCCGTGCATTAAGGCCGAAACCACCCACCAAAAATAGAAGAAGTGCCAGGCTGACCGGCCGTTATTTGGTTATACAACGTTTGCGGTGGCAGGATCAATTTAGAGAAGCTTACATGATCGGGGCCAATCTTTTAGTGGAACTAAAGTATCTCATATGCAACGTGCTGACGTGCTGGGGTTAGGACGCCTTATCGGGACCGCCCAGCAGGAGATAGGACGAATGGGCCGGGTCACGTTGGAAGTCTCAAGACTTTGACTCGAACGCAAAGGAGTAGTCCCAGTGTATGTCATAGAGGATCAGCAGAGGCAAATGAACCGAGCTCACTAATCACCACACGGCATAGCGCCGAGCTTTGAGGACAACAAGAGCAAACTTGGGCAATTTGACAGGTACTGACAGGTACTTTGCCCCGGTTTTGTCTGCCTTGAAGTTTGATCGAGTCAAAGTGGACTGACTGACTGATCCCTATATTGACCGGTTCACCTATGGTGTCAACATCAAATAGTATTGTAGGGCCCAAATGCAAGACACGCAGTCCACATCGAGTGCCAAGTAACTGAGGTCCATCATCGCCAGATGTTCGTTCCTCTCATTTCTGTGGAAAACCTGACGTATTGAGGCTTGGCCTACCCTGCTGAGTCGGTCATATCCACGCTTGACAAGTTGTAACAAGACGTGGGACTAGACAAGACAACAGCAAGAAATGTGAGCCCGCACTATAACAGCATCCCGAAGGACCTCAGAATCATAAGTAATGGCATCTCCACAAGCCAGATCAGATAAATGAGAACACTTTTGAAAGAATGATTGCGAGGTGTCTAATCTTTGTCCTCGTCACGACAGTCTGCGCAAGCAGCACCAACCTCTTCTCGGGAGCCAATGATGACACTCTCATTTTGTTGAAGCTCTTCCACAAGGACTTAACTTCTGGAGTCCTCAGGACATTGGAGAATCCAAAATTTAAGAGAAAGACTCGTTTACAGAGTACCAAGGCTTATTTCATTTCTTTGGCTGCTGCTGAATATACTCACCTCACCTAAGCCACAGGAACAATGGCCGAGAAGCGGCAGCATCTTGTTCCTGGAAGCGATTGAGATTATTTTGCTGTTGGTCTGGTTCGTCGAGCTGGATGCGAGTTGGACGCGAGTTCGCTTCGCTAGGGTTCATAATTTCGAACAATAATTGGTTACCGGCACCTGTTGCTGCATGGAGCAATACTCCCCTGTTGTTTGTTGAGCCCTTATTCGTCCTTCCTGAAGGAGGTTTATCCTTATGCAGAAACGACGCCTCTTTGTGAAGACACGGCCGCAAGGCAGAGGATTCAATGGCCCACAGTGCTGGTAGTGACACCCACGTGCACTAGAACCTCAACGGCATCTGGTCATCCAACCTTGTTCATCACCCCGAAAAGTCATCCAGAGCCACCGATTGATTGTCCTCAAGAAGTGACGCCATCTACTCTCGTCCAGCTTCCTGTCGCACGATGGGCGTCGATTCTGCCATCGACGTAGATGCAGCACTTCAACCCACGATGCCCAACAAAATGTCCGATCGTGAGGTTATTATTAAGGCTGAGTACCAGGGACGCATATGAAGTCGCTGTTGGCTGGACAAGACAAAACGCTAATGGCTCACCAGAATGGGGCGGAAGCGGAAGAATCGGTAAGACCTAGATACTTCAGATGTATGGATCGAGAGCTGGGAGTTGCCTAGCCGCAGAGAGCTTGACGCTGACGTTCAACCAGGGGAGCGTAGCGTCATCAAATATGAGCGCGACCAGCTCAATCTTTGAATTTCCTATCGAGAATGGAAGAACCTATCATAAGTACAAAGATGGCAATAAGTCTTCCAACCCTCCAAATCGTCGCTTAATACTCTTCACTCCCTTCCGCCAAGACTTACTGACGTTTAAGGGTAGAATACAACTTGCCCAACAACGAAAGAGAGACGGAACAACTGGTTTGGTGCCCAATCAGGATGCAAATTGATCAATCTAAAGAGGAACCAGACTTGCAGCACACTTTGTTTCTTTGCACATTTGATAATAGGCTCGGCACAGCACCACCAAACGATCCGAGAAGTAAAATTGGTAGACATCTCGATGTAGGTAGGTACAGGGGGTGGGATATGGGCTATCGACTAGGGTGAAGAACACCCGAAATCCGAGGTCAGTCATTCTACGAGTCTGCAAGGTGAACAAGAAACATGGACCCATGTGTCGAAGGTTCGGGGTATCGATCTCTCAGCTGCACAGCCAACTTTGTAAGCCATCTGATTGATTGGAAGACCCGACAAGATAAGAAATGATAATGCTGATTATTTAGTACACCGCGGAATGTGCAATTCCTGATTGACGACCTCGAAGAGCCATGGACCTACTCTCGACCTTTCGACTACATACACAGCCGGATGATGAATTCCTCAATTAGAGACTGGCGAGAGCACATAAAGGACTGATATGAGCGAGTACCCAAGATGATGAACGCTCACCAACATGGATGATGAAGCTTCTTGACTAAGCCTCATCGTCGCACAGTAACTTGCATCCGGGTGGAGTTTTGGAGTTGAACAAAATTGACATTGCTCCCCTATTTGATGACGGTACCTTGAAAGTAGAACACTCCATCTGCCGAACGGTCGGGATGCTGCAAGAAGCATCGGAGCTATTGGGGCACCCGTATCAAGATGTCAAGACATTGAAGGCGGCCCGTCCTTATGAACACGGGGTTTACTGGTGTGACGATGAAACACTTCAAATGGCCTACCAACTCTTGGACGAAAGAAACAATGCACAAATAGCTCGGGTTTCAGAATAATGAAAATCTCACATAAGGATGGGAGGCGATTTGTATGGCGCCGCTGACGAGGGCTATGCGTTGGACCAAAAATAAGGTTTTGGTGTTGATGGCCGAGAACCACAGGGAATTCTGTGATCGAAATATCCACGCGTACTTATCCATGTGAGTTACCCATGCGCCTCCGCTACCTGTCAACTATGCTTTGCAAACGGTTTCATATCAGCCTACATATGTTTTCTAGATGGTGATTTACGGGCGGAAGCCAGTGGACGTAGATGTTGCTCGTGACGACAGCAACGAGGAGAGTCACGAAGGAAATCACAAGGAAGGATGCATGTATGATGAAAGGTGGCACAGAGCGCGGACATATGTCAACATTAGAGAAGATCAACAGGGATGACTGTAGGCCATCAAGAACCCTACACATGCGCCTGTTCAGAGCCAGGAGCACCTATACTTCCCTCAACAAGTTGGCAAGAAAAATCTGAAAATGACAAGAATGATGGCATAAAGATTCAAGAGATGCTATTCAGGTCCGCCACCATGCCATGCCGTCTTGGACTAAAAAAGTCGTCATACAAAATGGTCAAAGTCGCTGTAATGGGCTTACTCGGGCGGCGGTCGCTGGCCGGACCAGGTTGAGCTCTCGGCCGAAGGCGGGTTCAACTGGTGTACTGTACCTGTACCAGGCTAGAAAGTCTTAAAGGACGCGCATTTGGACTTGAAAAACCTGGGAGATCCGTTTTGGTTGCAATGGGGTAAGCAAAATTGAGAATGTCCGTCGGTGCTGGAACAATGCTCTCCATGCTCAGCCGCCTGATGTTCGCACCGCATGGAATTGGGGCTTGCAAGTGACCAGTTCCTGTCACAGGATCTTGGTTTACAATATGGCAAATAACAGGCAAAACACCAAGGCACGCCTTCAAGAATTCGGAGACAAGGTAATCTCGGTCGCTCCAATCACCATGCCCTTGGCCTTTTCTTCTCAGTTCAGGGAAGAATACGAGGAGTTCTAGAGGAAGTACGATTTCCGGGATGTTAAAGACTAGCTGGCTGCGTGGTTTGTGTCTCCAGCACCCTGTCGCAGTAGCTTTACGGCGCGTATAGTGACGCATACGGAGATCTCTCAAATATTTCAAATCTTGATCTCGGATTGGACCAGGGTGAAAATTACCAGAATTAAAAAGGACACATGAACTGCTGGGGTGATCATCGCGTTTCGCCAGCCACATTAGTGCACGCTGTTTTCACAGATCGGAAAACTCAAGACAGCCATTCTGTTGTTCACCTTGGGCATCGGATAATGCTAGCACGCAAAGAGAGCGACCGGAACTTCGGAAGACTGTGCCTCATGCGGTGTGGTTCGTTCACACCGCCATAGACGATAAAATATTGTTAGTCCTTGTGCCGCAGGCTAGCTGCCGCTTCTGGAAACTGCTCCCCGATTACCAGGGCTCTGTCGCAGATAGCTGGTTGGATCCGACTGGACAAACCAAAATGCATATCTGCATAGTTGTCTCCAGCCAAGAAGAGGGGTAAATCGACGTGGGACCCCTCCCCAAGATATATCTCGTCGACTTCGCGGGGTGAAGACTTCCCCTTACTCGCCATTGCACAGATATAGATTGTAGCAGATGAACCTAGTGAACGAACGTTACATCCACACTGTCTAAGTCAGATTCTTCCATCGACAAAGAACAGCTCCTATCATTCGCGCTTGGTGAAAGAGGGCAAAATGAGCAACGAGAACAATATCCCCACCCCCCCACCCGCTGCCGCCATTGCGGCTGACGAGGTGAGATATCTTCAGAATTTATCGAGAAATGATGGTTTACTGAACCCCTGCTGCACACCATAGGTCACCGACACTGGCGACAATTCCTCATTAAATGGTGTAAGTTGTAGGGAAATTCGTCAGGACGTGCCCGCAGGAGCAGGCTGACTAGGGCACTTCAGGGTAGCATTGCGCCGTCCACCTCGACAGTCGCGACGTCAATCCTCGAATCTAGACTTGAGAACGGGAGAACGTATCACAAGTACAAGGAAGGCAGTATGAGGAATCTGAATCAGTACTTTTGTTCAGATTGTGCAGTAACTGACCTTGGCAGAGTACTGGGCTCCGAACGATGAGAGAGAGCAGGATAGACTCGGTGCGATTTTATTCTCCCTTTCGATCGCCATGCTTCTTTAATTAACACGTCGGCTTAGACCTTGTGCACAACCTTTACCTCTTGACTTTTGATTACTATCTGGGAACGGCGCCGCCAACTCGAGAGAAATCGAACGTCGGTCGTGTGCTCGACGTCGGCACGGGCACAGGCCTTTGGGCAATTGAATTCGGAGAGGAGCATGAGGAGGCGGATGTTCGTAACGCTTGCTACCCGTTTGACACCGTACAGGATACGCGATGTTGATGAATACTTTTCAGGTTACCGGTATCGACTTGTCGGCTATCCAGCCAAACTTGTATGACTTATGGTTCCCAACACGGTTTCCTTTCCTGACAGACGCGCTGACAAGACTAACGTACTAGCGTGCCTCCCAATGTTAAATTCGAGATCGATGATATCGAGGAGCCGTGGACTTTCAGTGAGCCTTTCGACTACATCCACAGCAGAATGATGAAGGGCAGTATTCGCGACTGGAAGAGGTTTCTCCAAAGCAGTTTTGAGTTGGTTCCCTCACATATGCCTGTGCTGTGGGTGTTTAGTTGCTAATCACTCGGTCATCATGTAGTAATCTCACTCCTGGTGGATATCTCGAGCTGAACGACATCGATTTCTTCCCCATTTCAGACGATGACACGATTCCTAAGGATAGTCATCTCATGAGGGCCTTCAATCTCTGCTTTGAGGCTCTCGCAAAGATGGGTTCACCTTTCGAAGAGTTTAGCCGCTTCGAGACTATGCTCGCCGATATTGGATTCGAAGATATAAACGTGCAGCGGTTCAAGTGGCCTACGAACCCGTGGCCCAAGGACAAGAAACATAAGAACCTAGGCGAGTGGAACTTCGAGAACCTATCGCCCAACTTGGACGGGCTTCTCATGGCGCCCTTGACGCGAGCCCTGGACATGAGCCAGTCAGAAGTCCATGTTCTTGCGATGGAGGCCCGTCAGGAACTCGCGGACAGAAACATCCACGCTTACTTCAATGTGTATGAAACTTTCAGATACCCCCCATGATTCTATCTTAGCCCACTTTCTCTGACCCTTTCTGTCTAGGTGGTCGATCCATGGACGCAAGCCATCTGCGAATTGAAATCGCTAGACACCCATGGGTTCGGGGTTGTAATATCCTTGCATTTTTTCTTCAACGAAGGGGAGGCGCGATTTGTTACTGCGTTAGATTAGCTCGCCAAAGCCAAACATTGTTTGTAGAATTGAACGAACATGAAAAATATGAACTTCGCTCAAGCCCTCTTTCGCCTTCATACAAGTTGAGACTGGCATCCTCATCAAGTTTAAGACTGACGTCTTTGCGGACATCCGAGTTTTGCTCTGACGAGATCTGACGATATGAACGATCTACGGCATTTGAGTGCTCATGGTCGCTAAATTTTGAGTCACTTGATAGCATAACTAGCATTTATTGTTGATTCCACCTGATTGCTGAACAAGCTTGATATCAAGTGGAGCAGAGCGGCTTAAACTGGGGCGAACGCGAGACCACCTCGTATTATTCAATGGGGGGCTTATACACCGATATTAAAAACACTATATATAGAACCTTGAGAGGTTCTTGGCTCACGCCGGCTGCTCCACGATGGATGTAGATCTGAAGGACTAAAACTGGCACAGTCCCATATCACAAACATGAGACATGCATCTAGCTTCTTTGTATGTCGTCCGACCTGCTGCCTGTGTCGTTTAAGCCTTCGGAAATCCCCAAGATGAGAGCTTCAAACAACTTGCTGTCGCAGTGGGCAATTCTACTCACTACTGCAGCAGTTGCCTCAAGCTAATCTATCAATCAGAGAGCCGGTGTCTCAGCCTGCAAATTGCCAGCGACGAATGGTGTGTTCTTCAGCTCTGGATTTGGCTACAAATACGACTGCGCTCCTAGCAAGGGCACCGTCAATGCGATCCTCATCTTCATCGACTTCCCGGACCAGACTGCATCAGAAGCTTCTCCGCAAGAGGTCTACGATCTCCTGATACCCCAGGCCCAGCAATGGTTCAACACGTCCTCCTACGGTCAGCTGTCGCTCAACATCACCGCAGACACGAGCCGCTTCTACCGCATGCCAAAGAACGCCGCCGACTACAATTTTGTTAGACCTTTATCACAGCAAGCTCACTATGCCTACGTTCAAGACGCGTTGGAGCAGTGGCTTGCTGTCACCAATACGCCGGTTCCCAAGGTTAACAGCACCGAGGGCCCCCTGACCGATATCTTCTACGTCATCCCGACCAGGAACGCCACGGGTATTGAGTTGTCTGCAGCGCTCACTGGTGGCGCGTATACTAAGAATGTCAACTACGTTGCGAGAAAAGCCGTCACAATGGGTATTGACACATTCGATTGGTGGGGTTATAAGGCGGTGAATCACGAGACGGGCCATACCTTCTGCTTGCCGGATCTGTATCCCATACCGACGGGCTACACGGGCATGTACGCCGGCAATTGGGACATGATGGCCGACGTGGGTGCGTCCAGCCCGGATTACTTCGCGTGGGATAAGTGGAGGTTAGGCTGGCTCTCCGATGACCAAATCGAGTGCCTCGTTCCGTCTGCCGGTTCCCTAAACGGCAGCAACATCACCTCCTCGACGACGCATAAACTCACACCACTCGAGACTATGGATGGCATGAAAGCCGTGGTCGTGAAGCAAAATAAGACTACGGCATTGGTTGCCGAAGTGAGGTCGAAGGAGGGTAACAATCTTAACTCGTGTACGACTGGCGTCTTGCTCTACACTGTGGCGACAGACCGTGGTACGGGCGAGGGTCCGATCCGAGTCCTCGATGGAAACCCCGGCTGGGGAACAGCCTCTTGCATCAACGACAATCTTGACAATGCGCCGTTGAGTTTGGCGGGCGAAGGTGCAAGCTCTTACACCTCGACAGATCTGGGTGTGACGGTTACCGTGGTGGAGCAGAACGGCGATGATTACACAATCCGCATTGATATATCATAAGCGACAATGGTTAATACGTCGGCCGGATGCTTAAGTAAGATTCATGGGAATAGCGAGATTGAACTCGCCGAAGAATTGCTGGTTAATGGTAAGGTCCCCGACTGCCAAGTTGTGTCAAACGTCAGAGGTCCAAAAATGAGGGCCGATAGAAGGCAGAAGAAACGCAGCAGGCGTGAGAAGTTGTCACTGGGGCCTGTTTCGGCGATTCAGTGCATGTCATAGGGGCATGAACGGCAGTTCATCACACAATTTTGAGAAGCAGTGTTTCGTATGCTGCAGCGACGGCATTCCAAACTTCAGATGTACAGAATGGGACGAAGGACCTCTGTCGTGGATTGAATAAAGGCGGGATTTTCGTGGAAAGACTGCCCACGAGGAGTTCGGCCGGTGCGTTCGGACTGACGCCGGAGACAGAAACAAGTGGCTACATGCTAGAGCATGATAATACCTGATAAAGTTCACGATAACTCATCTTTGATATTGTTTGATCGCCGGCGGCCAAGAAGAAATTGTGCGCCTGATGTGGTGAGGGAAGCACATTCCTTAGGGCCATTATGTTGGATATCAAGAAAATGAACGAGAGTCATTAAAAAGACAAGCAAATTGAAACTCGTCTAGAGCGGGCACTCAATCGTCTCGTTTGTATAAAAACCGGAGTTAACCGCTGGAGTGCTAAGATATCTTCCAAACCAGTGTCGACCAGGTCGATTCACATCGGCACACTGGAGAAAGTTTCCACGACAGTTCGGTCACGGACTGTCAAGGCATTCAATGAGAAGTAAAAACATACCGGTTACGACTGAGGATGAGGATGGTCATGATTCATGGTTAACATCAAGAGCGATCTAGTCATCCAATGAACACAAGTCCAGGCGCTTGAATCGTCCGGTCGTCCGTCGTCTGATCGCTGTGGAACTTTTTAGTACTCGTCCAACCCAATGCACATCCGCGAGTCGATTATTTTCGCCTCAAAGTTGATCGAGGCCCTTACGGCGCTGTAGGCCGAATACCGAATGGCGAAGGAGATCATGCTACACGGGATGGGGTGATATGCGTTGATTGCTTGCCAATACGTCCATCATCCCCGCCACGATGGAAGTACAATGCGACGATTCCCCGCCAGTCAGAGATGACGCGCGAGGGTGACTAGGGCCGCATGGTGATGGCGTCTGAGATTTTCCCCCTTGGCACTGATGCGTCTGAAGTCTCTGATCGCCTGAAACAGTAGATCTTAAGGCAGGCAATGAGTCCAAGGCTCCACTTTCGTTGCCGCAGAAGCGTTGACAGAAGTCGTTCCCGCGACAGGCTGAACAGAGTTCTGGCCAGATGGTGGGATGGTGTCATGCTCACACTCCCGCAGAGAAAAAGGAACGAACTCAGCGACAATGTTCTGGGGTTTTCATAGCATCCGTAAGGTTGTTAAGACACATTTGAGTTTCAATGACACTTGAATCTGACTTCAAGTTTCCTGCAGGCTCTGAGGGGCATGCCCGCTTGTCTAAGATACCAGACCATAATAAGCTTACCAACTAGCGGTACCCTTCCCCGTCCTGAGAGATTGTAGAGACAAACGGCAATATCGTCTGGACTCAGATCATAGTTGGCCAGGAATGGCGGCCAGATTATCCGCTGAGCAAGATCGGTTGAGCAACTTCCCTCTCGCCTAATTTTTCTTGGCATCTGCTGTTAGTGAATGAGTGAGCCTACCACCAAATTACTAACAGCCGAAAACTCTTCACCTCCCCTTGCCGGAGCCCGCATCCGCGATGGCCTCACAGCCGCCGTCGGGCACCGGACTGATGTCGGCCGACCAAGCCGACCCCGAACCAGGCTCCGGGACACCTCCGGAGCCGAACCCCACCTCAAGAGCTAAGCGACGCCGCGACGCCGAGGCACAGCCGACCCGGCCCAGCCTAACGGGAAGCCAGCTTGATGCCACCACCGACGCCCCTACCTCGGCCGAGGGGCCCGCAGCCTCTACCGCATCTGCTCCGAGCGGATCTGCCACAGGGTCCGTCTTGACAGCCCTTGCAGAAGAAGCTAGACAGTACGAGGCACGGAAAGACGTCTTTCTGACCATTGCACGGTCCGTCGACAGCGTTGTCGCCAGCTTTGACGGTTCTAGAAAGCAGATCGCGAAAGAAGCCACTGCCTATGTCATTCAAACCCTCAAGAGACTGATCAATCACGAGACAAGCCCAATAGCGGCCCGGAGTTGGGCGGCTGTCGTCGCACCGATGGCGGGCAACACCACTGCGGCGACCCGGAGCGGCCAGAGCTGCCAGAGCTCTGCCCGCCCGAAGGCCACACTCCCCGCCGAGGATCAGCCGCAGGCGCAGCCGAAGGAGGACCTCCGCATCTTTGCCCGCGTCCCGGAAGAAAGCTTAGCGGCCGCTCGGAAGATCGCACCGTTCGCCGTACGACAGATCGTCTGTAAGGCCGTTGGCCTGGGGCTAGCGGACCTTCCCCACGTCTACCATATCAGCACAGGTTACTCTCTGAAGCCGCGAAACAAGCAAATACAGGAAAGACTACTTGCAAGTAAGGCAAAGCTGGCGGAATGCCTCGGCGCCCACCAGGTCGAGACGCCTATCAAGTGGTACACTTACGTTGTGCCGCGATGCCCAACAAAACTACACAGCATTGGCGGGGACGTCCTGGACCCAGCCACACTCGTTGAAGATGAGGTCTTCGCACAGACAAGACAGAAGCCTGTCCTTGCTCGACCGTCCCGCCTTGGGCCCAACCCAGTCACGAACGAAATATCTTGGCTCATATCATTCACATCAGAGGTCACGCCCTTCAGGCTCTTCAACCAAAGCGGCAGATCTCTGCCCGTCAAGAAACGAAGGACGCTCATCCGACACGACCCCGGCTGCCAGGGCTACCACTCCAACCGGTTCTGCGGACGACGACCGATCTGCAGCAACTGCGGAAGACCTTCCGATTCACACGAAACGGGACCCTGCATGGCCAGGCCCCAATGTGCCAACTGCTGCGGCCCCTTCCAAGCCAGCCACACAGACTGCCCAGCGAGGCCCTCGGCCGTAAACGGCGTCGTCTCCCTTCCCGGTCGAAAGGAGCGGGCTCGGATCCGGAAGGCCGGCCAGAAAGCATCGGACACTCTGTACAAGGCTACTCGATCCGACAGTAGCCAGGAGGCGGCAGGCGTCCCTACCTCCACCAGCCAGAACCAGCAACCCGGCGCCAAGCGCGCGCGCACGAGAACGCCCTCCGCAAGCTCGATCGTTTGCCTCGGTGACGGAAGCACTGACAGCAGCAGCATGGATGAAGACGAGGCGGACGAAGGCGAAGGCGAAGACTCCCCCGACAACACCTCCATCGACCGTCCCGTGCTACCCATGCCAAGCAGGAGCCAACGGGCAGCACAGAAGCCAAACTACAACGTCGCGAATGCCTACACCCACCTCGAACTCGACTCGGAGACGTAAGCCGAGAGCGGCGACCCCACGGATGCTACGCGTTGCGCAGGGCAACGTCGGAAAGATCTCCCCGGCGCACACGGCTTTCCTGCAGCTCTGCTGGGAGGCTCAGATAGATGTGGTCCTCGTCCAGGAACCCTGGACGGGCTGGAAGGACGGAAACGTGCAACTGAACACGCACCCGGGTTTCGACTCTTTCGTCCCGGTCGACTTCTGGGACAGCGAAGGAACCAGACCAAGAGTATTGACCTACACACGCAAAGGGATAGGGATGACGGTGGAGCAGCAGAGGCCTGTCCACACGAGAGACGTACTGTGGCTGGTGGTCGACAAAACGACGACTATCGTCAACGTGTACAGACAACCCCGCGACCCCCACAGCCGCACAACAGGGATACTGCTAGAACTCAAACCCCCGGAGCGAGCTTTGATCGCGGGTGACTTCAACGCGCATCACTACTCTTGGGAGCCCGGGACGAGGAACGGGAACCGGGGAGATGACATCGCAGGCTGGGCAGACGGCCACAATCTCTCTCTTATCAGCGAAGTTGGGGTGGCAACCCAGGATTGCGGACATGTCCTGGACCTGGCTTTCTCTAATATCCCTTTTGCGCACGCGCAGGTCAGCCCACAGCTACACCCGGGAGCTGACCACGAGGCCATCGTGGCCGTCATACCACTACTCAAACGCCCAGTGTCACAGGGAGAGGGCCACCCGCAGCCACGGCCACTGTCAGTGCCCGACTCGGCGCTGCCTCGGCTGAGAGACCTGATCGAAGGGGGGCTAGCTGCGATGCCCAATCTGGGGGATCAACCTACTCCGGAAGACCTGGACGGGCAGGCAAGTCACATCGTCGAGCTCTTCTCCCGAGCCATTGAGGCGGTCGGCAAGAAGAGAGGAAAACATGGTAAAGGCGCGGCTTGGTGGACGGAGGAATGCGCAGAGGCCCACAGAGCATACCGTGCTGCCCGCAACCAACAAGCCTGGGAGACGGAGCAAGATGCGCACCTTTATCTAATGGAGAAACGAAAGGCGTTCCTGAGCACGGTGAGGAAGGCTAAGCGAGCATACTGGGCCGGAAAGATCGATGGAGTCGCTTCAGACCGGGACCTGTACCAGATCATGGGTTGGCGGAAGGCGAGCCTACTGACCAGAGCACCCCCATTGGTTGTGGACAACCAGACGATCGAGGATACTAACGAAAAGGCTCAAGCGCTTCGGGGAGCCCTTCTCGACAGGTTTAGTGCGGAAGATGACGCACCGGGTGACCCGTTTGACGTACCCGTCGTCCCGAGGCGAGCGATTACTTGGCAGGACAATGTTAGCGGAGAAGAAGTGAAGACGGCCACCTTAACAAAGACAACGACCCCTGGTGTGGACGGCATCACAACACGCCTCCTCCAGGCATGCTGGGATGTCATCTCGGAACCGGTCAGGCAGCTATTCCAGTCCTGTATGCGGGCCGGCCACTTTCCTCTGCCCTTCCGCAGAGCTGAGGTGGTCATGATCCAGAAGGCCGGCAGGGATGCCTCCAAGCCCGGGTCCTGGCGGCCGAT